GCAGAGAACAAAGTATGAGTTAGGGGCTCATCAATTGGCATCGAATCATATTATTTTGCTTGCACATTGGTCTGAACCAGTGATGTTCAATATCACAGTCATTATTAACCGTAGGAGACCAACATCACAGCTAGCTTATGTCATGGACATCCAGCCTCTCAGCTGTTCCCAGGCTACGTTTTCTGTTAATATCTGTCACTCATTGGCTGGTATGTAACTACAGTGATTGTAGTGTAGCTGGACAGCTGGAATAGCCAGATTGGTCAGACCTGATCCAAATCATTTTAAATAGTACTCAAGAGTTGGAATAGTCAGGGAATGGGTGGAAATTATAGATCGGTGATCACTGAGTCTCCTGCTGTCCTTCTTTTCATTCATCATGCCCCTTCTCTATCGTTTAATTTGCTCCCCCCAACTCCATCCATTTCCTACCTCATTTGTCACCTCCAGAGAGAGAAAGGGAAAGAGGAAAAGAACAAGGCTACTCAATCCCCTACAAACATGCTCTCCCCGGGCCATCCTTCCCCCTTGCCTGAAGAGACGGAGGTGCCAGACTTGTTGGCTGTATAAAGTGGTAAGTACCCTGCCATGGAGGGTGGTTTAATGCACCCTTTCTCTCTGTATTGTGGCAGGAAAAAAAAATAATGGACTCTCTAAGATCTTCAGAAGACAAGTGGATATTCAGTATCTGTAAATGGACTTAATATGAGCTACAAATCCGATGGTGAAATGAGTGTGGTCAAAGTCTATTACCATAATGTTTTAAACAGGATTACATACAAAGATATCTACAGCATTGCTGTACTGCTAGACATTCTGCTTTGTAATCTTGACAGCATTATTATAGAACTTTATAAAACTTTCCAAAGTGGAATGGACGAAATGTGTGCGGTTTGTGCTCATCTTCACTATGAATGGGTCTGGCAGCTCTAAACAAGACGTAAAATCAAACCGATGCAGGTGTTGTTTCCAAGGTTACATCTGGTTACCTAGTAAATCAATTAATATCTCCATGCATATATTGGTCTACAATCTGTGTTTCCGTAGTTATGTCAAATCCCTTGGCAATGCAGTTGCTGTTTCCATGGTTACTTTGAGTTAACCTGGTAATTAAAAATTGTGTTTCCATAATAGTATATTGGGCTAACTAGCAATGCAGTTATGTTACCAACTAATGGAATTTGTATTTCCAAACTAAATGCATTTAAATATTGTTTTCAGATCTTGAGCAACTGAAAGGAATTTTTTTTTATTTGAAAGGGTAAATAAAACGTTATCATATATAAAATGTTAATGACGCCATGACCTTGCAATGGTGTCTTTTCCAAAGGAATACCATGAGAACGTGCTGTGATGTTATCAGATTTACAATTACAATTCGCCGTCTTGCTATGTCAGACGCTTGGGTGTGTGTAGAACAGGTGCCTTTTGACGATTTTATTTACACGGTTTTACTAGTTCCCCTTTCATTATTTTATTCTCCTTTACAGATTGAATCTCACAAACTAAGTTTCCGGGAGAACGCTAAAGCCAAGACGGATCACGGAGCCGAGATAGTTTACAAATCTCCAAACCCGTCGGGCGACACGTCCCCCCGGCGTCTCAGCAACGTGTCTTCTTCCGGTAGCATCAACATGGCCGACTCTCCGCAACTCTCCATGTTGGCTGACGCGGTGTCCGCCTCCCTCGCTAAGCAAGGCTTGTGATGTGCTCCTTCCTTTGAGGGGCTAAGATTTGGAGGTGTGGGGGTGGGGGGGGTGAGAGACGTACAAAACAAGAAAAGGGAAGCGTTAGATTAAAAAACAAAAAAAACACCCACACAAAATTTCATAATAAAACTGGCCTTTTGCGTATTTATTATATTATTCTCCCTTTTTTGTATAGGTATTGCCAACATGCCCATACCAGAACCAAACGGGGCAGAGTTTCAGGCTCTGTATACCACCTTTTCATGGTTTCAAGGGCAAAAGGAAATTTTAAGGGATGTGTATGTATATTTTGTTTCATAATATAATTTGGCACAATAAGGGCGTATGCAGCTGTGTACGCAAGCTGAGAGCGCCCTGTGTGTCTACTTTATTATTACGCCTAGTACACAGAGAGTGCAACCTAGATTTTTAGATTTATTTTTTTTTGCTAGCTACACTGCAGCTCTTAAATATTGTACGTTGGCTGTGCTTGGGGGAATAAGAATAAGTTAATTTATACCTCATCCCCAGGGTAGACTTATGCATGGACCTGGTAGGTGGTTACTACTGCTTAAAAATAATTAATTCCCATCTCTTTGCCACCAGTGTTAATGTTCATTACGAGCAGGCAGTAGCATACTCAGAGACAGCTGTAAAGCACAGACAAACATTAAGCAGAGCAAGCAGGAGATACCCTCAATTTAGTTCAAAAGTTTTGATTCTGTCAAGAATCAAGGGCATGGCCTACTCGAATTAGTTCTAACATTTAATCTATGCATTCTGCTAAGAACATGACGAGCAGACACAGAATAAATGTTATGGATGCATGAAGTCTGGGTACTTTTCCCACACTGCCTAGTCTATATCTCCATGCTATGAATGGTGTGAGTGCATAACTACAAGCTCACACCCCGCAATTACGAGATGTAGTCCAAGAGCAGCTGAAGAGGTTACAGTCACGGAGGCACAAGCTAATATCTTAATGTAAAGATAACATTTTGTCTATATATTTCACAACAATTTGACTAGCGCTTTAGAAATGAATTTATAAGCCTTGAATGCATCTCATGTCAATTGTGATAGGTACAAGATATCTAAGCCACCACCCTCTCAAATCACAGGGGGCTAAAAGGTAGAGCTTCGGTAGATCTACAGTTGTAACGATGTGCGCTCAACTTAATCCTCAAGCTGTTGCCCACCTTTTCTCTAAATACTTCCCTGCTCCCCAGTTCTTGTGAATGAATGCTTTCTCCCAGCTGCTAAACGTAGGCATAAATCGAGTGAATATTGCCAGTCTGCCTTTTCTTACAACACTACTACACCAAGGATTAGCAGATGATGGTGACCTCTAATCTGTCGTGGCATAAGCAGTGTGTGGGATAGTTATTAAAGTGTGACTAACAGAAAAGTAGGGCGATCACCATGGAAACGGTCATGTTCTCACTACTGCATTGGGTTCTATGATGAATGTCATACTTTTTTGTTAACTATCATAGGCCTCCTCCCCATGTGCACAGTATTTTAATTTTACTCCTAGCACAACTAGAAAGCGCTTTAACAAACCCACCTTCTGCCAAAGCTTGTGATTAGGTCTTTGGCTGCTAGTGAAGGGACGGCCTGTTATTCCCCGTGGCAGCTAATGCGTATAAGCATAATCAGGCACAGTTTCTCCACCCAGCCCCTCTCTCCCACCTGAACGAGCCAAGAACTCACCCAAGTGTAACAGAATTAAAGGAAATCTTAGTGGCTGCTTTTTTTATTTGCAGAACTATTTCGCAAAATGGGGAAAGGGGAAAAAAGAAAAGAAAGAAAAGTTCCCATTCACTAGTTATTTGGTTTGTTTTAAATTCCCATTCCCGCTGTTGATTCCATCAGTAACCACCCCAGGTATTCGCCGCCGCCGCTCCCCCCCCATCCCACCCGCATCGTTTCTGTGGCTGTCCATATTCTGTGTTGTGTCTGACCAGCTGGTTCACAAGGTCTGTTGCTGTAAAAGTGGATTTGGAAATAAAGTTATTAATACAACACAAGATTTTGGTTGGGGTCTTAATTCTTTTGGTTGGGGGGGGGAGGGAGGGGAAGCGAAACGGTCATACTGATTGCCATTTCCAGTTAAAAAACTTTGTTCTGTTCAAACTTTTCACAGAACCAGCATTGCATTTCCATAAAAAGGCAGCTGAGAGTAATTATCTTTAAAGTTTTCTTTTATTGCATTCAAAAAACATTTATAGATTGTATGATATAGATCCATCGCACTAACTCATCCACTAAACACTAATGAATTGGCCCCAGCACGCTATAATGTATGCTTGTTTAGGTGAGTGCAGCCGGTTGGTTGGCTTGTTTGTGGACTATCCATTGACTGCAGGTGGAAGGGCTTTTCAATCACTTTTTTCCCCCACCATAACTTTCTTGGTTTGTGCTCCGCAAGTAACGCCAAGCCTCAATAGCAAGCTAGTAACCAAGCTCATGCCGAGGAGTTGCATTAACGATGACGAAACGGCTGTCCATGAGTGGTTCACTGGCTTTGCATCTCTTCCGGAGTTGTGTTTCGAAGCGGTTGTATACAGCAGACACATACTCTAAGGAATCCATATTAAAAATAATGTGGCCCAAAAAAAAAAAAAAGTTTAACTAATTTGCATATGCCCACCCAGAATCCTTTGCAGTAGTAACCTCTGCAAATTTGAGATTTCTGGTTAAAGAAAGTCTTATGGCTTGACTGGTGTGTAGACCTGTGATTAACAATGTGAATTATATATATATATATATATATATATATATATTTTTTCATTCCCCCCCCCCAACCATATTCTATGTAATAAAAATACAAAACCTTACTGAACCACAGCTCACGGGATTTTCTGGCCATCTAGTGCATTCACAGAATTCTGGGAGTCAAAGTTTGCCATCCCTGCTGTAGATGTTAAAATGATGCTGAACTGAAGTGATTAAAAGCCTGGTTTATGTGACACTAAATTTTAAAAAAGAGGAAAATTACAGCTGAACAAACACAAAAAGCTAACTTTCCAAACTTGCAATAGATCCCGAGTCCAAAGTAAGGGTAACAGGTTACCCCAAAGGTCTTTGTTCACACCTATACTCATAAAAATTCCTTGTTGAAAAAGGACAAAATATCAATGACCGACTGCTTCTGGAGAGTATATTAAACCCTTAGTCCATTGGGAAGTTTAAACAACCTTACTGACCACCCATTGCAAGTTGATTTAAAATAAATAAAATAGTAAGTATATTTACTCACAATGAGCAGCCAATGACCAGCTGAGAGAGTCAGCTTTACAGTTATCATGCCTAAACAAAAATCTCTTCATTGCAGGAGAACAGCAGTATGAGCCAGGCATTACAGAACGATCGCGGCGGCCCTGGTTACACTCTGATCTGGAGGGGACCTACAGATATTTACAGTCAATTACAATAAGGTTGCAGATCTCTGTGAAGTCTAACCACAAATTAAAAGCCACAGCGAGGCACTTATGAAATAGCTTTTTAATACCATCTCATGGTTCTGCATGCAACCCCAAAGTAAAGTACTAGAAAATCACTCCTTTTGTTGACAAAAAGACTTTGGTAGCCTTTATGAAGTGTCTACTTTACAATACAGAGAAATTATTCCTGATCCTGATTAAAGGGCAGAAGAGGGACACCCAGTTTCTTCACTAAGATTCGTGACTACCATAGATAGAAGAGTATTTAGAATGCAACACATCAGAGTCTAGGAGCAGGGGGTAGGCAACCTTCGGCACCCAGACGTTGTAGACGACATCACCCATAATGCTGGCAAAGCATCATGGGAGGTGTTGTCCAAAAAATCTGGAGTGCCGAAGGTTGCCTATGCCTGGTCTAGGGTGAGAGCACGATTCCAAGCAATGCAATTGTAACAAGTGGTTTATTTCCAGGCTAGAGGTGTCCTATCAAATTCAAACTGGAAAGTTAAGCTCACGTTAGATCGTAAATTGACCAATTGCAAATAAATGACAAGGCCAAAATGTAATTATCTAGACCAGAAGTAAATAACCTTTGGCACAACAGATGTGGACTATATCTGCCCTGATGCTTTGCCGGCTTTAAGAACATTATGGGATATGTAGTCCACAAAATATGGAATACTAAAGATTGCCTACCCCTGCTCCTAAGAAAAATGTATTTCTATATCCCGTTTTTTTTAGTAATCACAGGATTAAAGCTCCATACCTGAAGTGTAAGTACGAAATGTAAATACACTGCCCAAAAAAATAAAAGGAACACAAAAATCACACATCCTAGATCTGAATGAATTAAATATTCTTCTGAAATACTTTGTTCTTTACATAGTTCAATGTGCAGACAACAAAATCACATAAAAATTAGAAAAAATGGAAATCAAATTTTTCAACCCATGGTGGTCTGGATTTGGAGTCACACTCAAAATTAAAGTGGAAAAACACTACAGGCTGATCCAACTTTGATGTAATGTCCTTAAAACAAGTCAAAATGAGGCTCAGTAGTGTGTGTGGCCTCCACGTGCCTGTATGACCTCCCTACAACGCCTGTGCATGCTCCTGATGAGGTGGTAGATGGTCTCCTGAGGGATCTCCTCCCAGACCTAGGCTAAAGGATTTGCCAACTCCTGGACAGTCTGTGGTGCAACGTGGAATTGGTGGATGGAGCAAGACATGATGTCCCAGATGTGCTCAATTGGATTCAGGTCTGGGGAACAGGCGGGCCAGTCCATAGCATCAATTCCTTTGTCTTGCAGGAACTGCTGACACTCCAGCCACATGAGGTCTAGCGTTGTCTTGCATTAGGAGGAACCCAGGGCCAACTGCACCAGCATGTGGTCTCACAAGGGGTCTGAGGATCTCATCTCGGTACCTAATGGCAGTCAGGCTACCTGGAGGGCTGTGCGGCCCCACAAAGAAATGCCACCCCACACCATTACTGACAAACCGGTCATGCTGGAGGATGTTGCAGGCAGCAGAATGTTCTTCACAGTGTCTCCAGACTGTCATGTCTGTCGACTGTGCTCAGTGTGAACCTGCTTTCGTCTGTGAAGAGCACAGGGCGCAAGTGGCGAATTTGCCAATCTTGGTGTTCTCTGGCAAATGCCAAACGTCCTGCACAGTGTTGGGCTGTAAGCACAACCCCCACCTGTGGACATTGGGCCCTCATGTTTCTGACCATTTGAGGAGACACATGCACATTTGTGGCCTGCTGGAGGTCATTTTGCAGGGCTCTGGCAGTGCTCCTCCTTGCACAAAGGCGGTCCTGCTGCTGGGTTGTTGCCCTCCTCCACTTCTCCTGTACTGGCCTGTCTCCTGGTAGCGCCTCCATGCTCTGGACACTACGCTAACAGACACTGCAAACCTTCTTGCCACAGCTTGCATTAATGTGCCATCCTGGATGAGCGGCACTACCAGAGCCACTTGTGTGGGTTGTAGACTCAGTCGCCAGCATTCAAAAGTGACCAAAACATCAGCCAGGAAGCATAGGAGCTGAGAAGTGGTCTGTGGTCACCTGCAGAACCACTCCTTTATTGGGGGTGTCTTGCTAATTGCCTATAATTTCCCCCTCTTGTCTATCCCATTTGCACAACAGCATGTGAAATTGATTGTCACTCAGTGTTGCTTCCTAAGTGGACAGTTTGATTTCACATTAGTGTGATTGACTTGGAGTTACATTGTGTTTAAGTGTTCCCTTTATTTTTTTGAGCAGTGTATATTCCAGTGGACTGGTTTCTCCACAATTCCTCTCTTTAACCTCTTTAAGACACATGACGGAAATAGTCAGTCATAATACCATTTTATTTTTGAAGCGGTGTCTTTAATGAAACTGTGTTAGAGGGGTTCCCTTCAACCTTAACTCAGCAATTGCAAAGAAACGAGTTTCCCTTCAGAGAGACAACTTTAAAAAGTCCATTTCAAACTGAAGTTTGCCCAGTCTTTTTTAATGTGATATATAGGTATTTGGTTAAAAATGTACATTAAAACATGAAATACTCAGTATTGCAAGTTCCTGAATTTGCAGTATCTGCGGTTAGTGCCAACCAGAAAGTGACTCAGCCAAGCATGTTGTATGATAGTACAGAGCTTGCCCCATAAACGTCTAAAGAATGGTTTCTGTGAATCTTCGCTTTCTAATGAAGAAAATATATAGTTTTTAACAGTAAAACTACAAATCCCATAAACCTTTGCTGTGCATCACATATAACGATACTAAAGCAAAGGAAAAGAAAATATTGGAAGCAGATACAGAAAATGTGCGTTTTATGAAGCACAACTATAAATAACTGTACTGAACTCTGGCAAAATAAATAAATCAGTTTAAATAGCCAATAAGGAGAAACTCCTTTTCCCAAAGGTGAAGACGTGTTATATACACAAGTACCGTATTTATCGGCGTATAACAAGGAGTTTCCTGTACCGGGTCGGACTGACAGGAAGGTGCACACTGAGCGTGCACCTTCCTATCACTCCGGCCGGCCACCGCGGACAGCAGAGCAGCTCGGCCACGCTACAGGGGAGGGGGTAAGAAGAGGGGGGGGGTAAGAAAGGGGTAAGACGAGGGGAGGGGAGTAAGAAGGGGGCAGGGGGAGTAAGAAAGGGGGGTAAGAAGAGGGGGAGGAGGGAGTAAGAAAGGGGGGTAAGAAGAGGGGGAGGAGGGAGTAAGAAAGGGGTAAGAAGTTCTTTATTTGAAATGCAAGTTTTTTCCCCCTGAAATTTCTTTCTTAAAATGAGATGCGTGTTATACGCCGATAAATACGGTACTTGTAAAAAGAAAAAGAAAAAAGATTGTAAACATTAAAAAAATAAAGTGGGAAAAAAGCTATTTTACCCGTTTAAATGAACACTAAAGGGTCAGGAACACAAATTTATTCCTGCCCTATAGTGTTAAAACCACCATCCAGCCCCCCTGGCCTTCCTAAATATAGTAGAATCTTACTTCTTTTTAAGTCTGCAGCTGATGCCTCTGCCCCTGAACTGCCTGCTTGGCTGACATCATCAGAAGTGGTTATCTCAGCCAATTACAATGCTTTCCCATAGGATTGGCTGGGACTGTCAAAAAGGCAGATATGGGGCAGAGTCAAACACAGTCCTGGCCAATCAGCATCTCCTCATAAAGATGAATTGAATCAATGCATATCTATGAGGAAAGTTCAGTGTCTGCATGCATCCAGAGGATGGAGACACTGAATGGCAGTCACACTGTGCAGCACTGCCCCAGGAAGCACCTCTAGTAGCCACCTCAGCCTGAATGGAATTATTCTACTCACTAGAACAAATACAATAAGCTGTAGTTGTTCTGGTGACTACAGTGTACCTCTAAAGTTAGCCTAGAATTTCACTTTTTTTTTTTTCATTCAATATAAAAGTAAATCCTTTTTTCCTCCTTTACTTTATGCCCACAGGTGTGTTATTCTGCTCCATGTGTTCACAATCTCTTGTACGTTTTATATGAAAGTATGAAATCAGACAGAATCAGGTTTAACGGTTTTATTTTTCTTAAATTTTTGTTTTTTCCCCCTCAAGCACTTTTTCTCCCCGTGCCTTTTTTATTTTATTTCTTTTTCCCCCCCAAACAGGATAAAGATGTTATAGAAATAAAAGAAATTACCCTGAAAACCAACAACATCAAAAAAGTAAAATAAAATAAAATAAAAAAAGAAATTAACTTTTCTCTCTATACAATCCGGGAGATAAGACTACACAGTCTTTAAACCACCCGGGTGAAGGGGGCTTTTTTTTTTTTCCCTCTTTTTCTTTTTTGAAACAAAACATAAAGCTACTACAAAATTATTTACAAAATAGAAGTCTTGCATCCTTTTTTTTCCGTCTTTTTTTTTTTTTTTTGTACAATGCTAAGAGTTCTCTTAAATTTTCAACATATTTTCTCATTTGAGAACTACAGCAATTAATGCTCAGGTCAGTAGCAGGGCAAACGGGGGATTTTTAAACAACTTAACCCAAAAGTATCACGGCGCTTCAAAATTGGCATAGAAAGAGATATACATAGATATATATATTAAAAAAAAAAAAAAGTTAAAGAAATTTAAAGAGACGAAAAAAAAAAGATACAATTACAACAAAATAAAGGGCAAGTAATGAATACAGAAAAATTATGAATTTTTTTTCTTTTTTATGTTGAAGGAGTGCATCTAAAGTCTCACCGCAGAGAAGGAAAGAGTACAATATATATATATTTTTTCAGTGAATATACAAAGTGCAGGAATGAACACAACCAGTGGGACTGTTACACAGATTTAGCACATCCTGTGGGGTTGAGGTCAAAGTCAGAGAGAGTTGCCTTCTTTTGAATCAATACTTTCCAGTTAAAATCATTGCCCTTTTCCTCCTCAACTGCAAATATGGGAAAGTGAAAGCACTGCGTCAGTGATTAAGTATGGACGAGGAAAAAAAGAAAAGAAAATGGTTACAGATAAACCAGGGGAGGCAGTGACGTTATTTGGTCTACAAATTCTGAAAAGCCCACAGCAGGCTTTAAGGGTTTTCTTAACCCAATGACAAATGGATTAGTAAGCATCTCTATCATTCAACGCTAAGAGTCACCTGCAATCATGTTACATTGGATGTATTCCTTCATTCAAGTTGGCTTTGAAAAAAAAAAAAAAAAAAAAGCACTATACAAACGAAAACATATTAACCATTTCCCTATATACGGAATCATCAGATAATCATTTATCAGATTTTTCCACACATTTTTTTTTTTTTTAAATTGGTCTACTTGATCCTTAATCAATTTCCTTAAATATTACTTTATTGTAGCACATCGGGTTTATGCTGAATATTAATTTCAGCATATTGAAGCCACGCATGTATATTACAATATAGCAATCTTAATGACTTGGGAGATTACTAGAATACCACACTTTGCTGATCAAACGGCGACCATAAAGGATCAAAAGACTGATTGAACAACATAAAAGTATATCACCCAGGAAGGGTACTTCCTGATGTCTAGCTAAACCAAGGGTTTTGTGAAAAATGGTTAACGTAAGTGGCAGTTCTATATCGTCGATATACCTGGACTGTTGGAAAGTCCAAATTACCTAAGTGCACAACACAAGTCAGGAGAGAAGGATTTCCGTGGAGAGGGAAAACATAATAAAATTGTAGCACTAGGGCAGTAAGGTTTAAGTATAGACTGGCGTAAAAAATCCAATAGTGTCCAATTGCCCTGGAATCAAAACAGGACCTTCAATTCAATATCCCTGGAAAGTTGATTTGACAATGCCTTTAGACATCACATTAAAGACAAAAATATCAAAATATATTCATACACAACAGAAATATGGGTCTGGTGGTAGGATAGCCATTTCTACACTCATAAGTTATACATAATGGGATATAAGAGATCAACAATCATTTTACAACCACTTTGAGATAAATTGCTGCTTCTGTTAGCCTTTCGATTTCCCCTTGCATATTAAATCAGAAAGTTCACCTTTTAACTGTGCCTTTACGGAGTTAAAAATATATATATCCAGCATGCTAATCAAACTGGTCACTATTGGTGTTTTAGGCCCTCAAAAAAAAAAATATATCTCTCATTCACGTCACTTCACTTCCAAGTCTCCTGTACATGTACATAAATATTTTACACACAAACACACAACGGCATGAGTTGTACTTTGTACGTTGTTTAAGCCCCTTCCCTAAACACAAAGACTAAGTGCTTTTATTAGTAGGCTTGTGAATTTCTGGTTTTGTCGGGAAGGAATTCGACAGCATGGGATGAATTTCTATAGAAGCTGCACATGCACTGGGCAAACACTAGATGGGGTCATAAGGCTGGGAACATGACAGCCCCAGAGGGGAGGCAGTTATACCTCTGGAACGTAACAGGGTTAGGTTCAAATTTTTCTGGCATTTAAGAGGGAGAATCACAATCAGCTTTAAAGCATGTTACCCCCAGCCCTCCCCTGTATGAAGTGGGAACAAAGAGGTCTCAAGCATTATAGATTCTGCAGCTTAAACCACTTTGAGGGGAGCGCAATGCACGTACAGAAATGTGCTGATCATGCGGATAGCAATCAAAGACTCAAAGAAAGGAAATTAAAGAAGGGGGGGAAAGTTATTAAATTCACTAAAAAACTGTGAAATTTGCGCTCTTCTCTGGGGATAAAGTTTGAATATCAAACAGCAGATTCTTCTGAAGCCAAATTGTCATCTCAGTGAATTTACAATCGTCCTCATCTCCCCTCCCATCTATCGATGAAGGGGTCGTGGTCTGGAGGAAGAGCAAGGGGGAGATGATGGGGCTCCCTCTGGGTCTTTGGCAGTTCTGGAGCTGCAAGAAGTTCGGCGTGGGGGCCTCGGCCCTCCCCAATCAATGGGCTCACTGGGTTCTGCAATGTTTTGTTTGGGGTGATGGGGAAGAGGGAAGTGTCTCCTCTCCCAGGGCTGCACAATCTGCAAAAAGTTAGGCAAATAAAGACATCATTAAAGAAAAGTGAAATCTTTAAAATATTATTTTGTAAGTACTAGGAGTACACAAATCTAATCATCAAGTAAAAACCTCTCACCCTCTCCTCATGTCCAGAATCTGAAATTGAGCTCTGTGTCTCCTCGGAAAGCAGACGGGAAGTGTCCCTTGAGGTGGGCGTAGGTGGTGCAGAGAGGGTATCCGGGCTGAGGGGTGAGAAATCTGGGATGGCCTGCCAGCTGCCTGTGTCTGGGGACGGCGGCTGGAGTGTCAGAGAATGTGAAACTGAAGTCTGAGGTGTGTTAGAGCCTTCAGATGTCCGGTGAGTTCTGGAAGAGAATATAAATAAATAAAAATCACACAAATTAAATAAAAGCAACTCAGCAGTGGCTGGAAACAAACTGGGAACAAAACAAAAAAAACTACCAGTAATCCCAGGAGTCTAATCCATCCATGGTGATATCACTCCTTCTCACTGCAGGGGGAGGGGAGCCAGCCCAAGGATGGGCCGAGGGGAGGACATGGAAGGCAAAAGGAGGGCTGGGGGTAACAGGATTTGGTTGTCTAGCATGCTGAAGAAAGATGTCCAATATGCACAGAATTGCATTAACCAGCCCTGACCTTTGTTCTGGACTGGCTAATGATGCCTTAAAGACACTGTCGGAGGTGGAATTACTTCTCCAGCAGCAGAGCGCTATAAACTCTGTATATGCAGTTTCAGAATTAAACGCTGCACATACAGACTTCAAGCACCATAACCACTTTAAACCGCTGAAGTGGCTTTGGTGCATGGAGTACCCTTTAAAGGGATAATGATACTCAAGGCCAGCGTATAATTGTGCGGCGCAGTGAGGGGAACGCACAGACACTCCTATACTGCAGGTTGTGCTATGCACCCAGGGATGAGGATTTAATTATCCTCCGAGAACCAGAGAGAGGCAGCAAGGCGGAGCTAAAAGCGTCCTGAACCCGCTGCACACGAAGGCGGAAAGCAGGAAGGAGTTCCTGCTTTCCCAACTACTAGACACCAGAGACTCCAAATCCCCTTCTCACCCCCTCCAGTCTAAAATGGATAGAGGTAAATATCTGCCTGTAACTGTGTACACATGGGTATTTAATTCCGATAAAAATATGCATGTAGGCCCATCACACACAGCCAATAAATCCAGCACAAATATCACACACAGCCAACACATAGCAAACATATCACACACATAAATCTCACAATATATCATGTGTGTCTTACAGTGGAGGTCTGTCATACGGGGAGCTCTAAACACACACTCATTACTGGGAGTTTTATTGTTGTGGAGTTCTGTAATAAACTGGTACACACCACATAGTACTGGGAGGGCTTTTATTTTTAATTTTTTGCAGTGGAGCTCAGTGGTAAATGGATAAACTCAGCGCTTTACTGTATGTTTTTATACCAAGGATGTCAAAGTAAATAAGGAAAATCCTGAGTTCCACAGCAAAACAACTCCGTATATATTATGTGACAGCGGCACATTATACTTAATCTGCTCCTCTGTGACGCCGGGGAGGCAGTCTGGCCCCTCTATTGCCCACCGACCATAAGTAGCCATCTCCCAAGCGACAGCCAATCACAGCCTGGCCATGGATAACAGGAAAGCCCTGACACTAAGTGCCTGAATTTGCAAAACAGTTACTGATGGTCTGCACCAGGCAGAGGCACAGAAGACCAGATTCCCAGCACACTGGAGGGACATGGGGGAATGAATATTTGTTTTTAAATAATTCTAAATGTAATAAATCCCCCACACAAAAACTACACATGGATGAAGGGGGTATGACCAGGGAGGAACGCTAAGATTTTTTTATGTATAGGGCATCTAAAGCCGGCCCTAGGGATACTGTAGGCATCAAAACAACTGTTTTGGTGTATAGACTATGCCTCTGCAGTCTACCTGCTCAATTCTCTACCGTTTAGGAGTTAAATCACTTTGTTTCTGTTTATGCAAACCCTAGTCACACATATATATAGCACAGAACTGCAAGTGCAGGGGCATGATATATACACCAAAACTGCTTAATTTATCTAAAGTTGTTTTTGGTGCCTACAGTGCCCTTTTTAATCATGTATCACTTTTTTTAACGAAAAGAATGATCTAGGACAGGAGGATTCTTCTGTAGCAATTATTCTACAACGGTCACAGGGACATTTCTCTCCACTGATTGTCCTTACCTACTGCCGCGACGCTGAGGAGGAATGCTTGTACTCAGCCATCTCGCCCGCTCCATTTCCTCACATTTGGCGTGCAACGCAGAGAAAGATGCATCTGAGAGATCTTCCAGCTACAGGGGGGAGAGAAACAAAACCAGAGATGAAGCTGCCCAATCAATTAAAACACACGCATGCGCAAGATGTGTTTTTTTTTTTTTGTTTTAACAATTTATGCTTTATATTGTAAAAAGGAAAAAGACATCCAAAGAAAAAAAAAAAATACACAGAATAACTTTTCACCTGAAGTCTAAGAGGTTAATACAGAAGGCAGAATTTAGAGCATAATTTGTAAAGACGCACCGAATGTGACATTCCCACTCGGTAAGCAGTGACACATGTGGTAGGCTGATGTAATACTCCTTTTACACGAGTCTGAATCGGTACAGTGCAGAGGTCTATAGAGGATCTCACAAGACAGAAGATTCCTCCACAGACCAACTCACGCAATGATTGAGAAGATCTAAAATTCCATTCGGCTGAGGGAAAATGTTATGGCAGATGCGCCACCTTCAGGCATGAACATAAAACAGAATAATGCCTACTTTGTCTTAGCTTTTGATGGCGTTGGAATTTCAATGACACTCCAATGCAGGCACGATGGGCATTTCATAAACTTTACGTTACAGTGAAATAGACACTTTAAACATACATGAAGGTAAGACAAGAGCAAATTATTGCTAGGACAAAAAACGGACAGGTGGCTCCACGTGTTCTTTCTTGAAGGCAAAATACAGCCTTAGTTTTTACGATACAGGCCCGGTAGGTTTCTGAAGTATCTCTACAGGTTCTATTAATCCGAACAAATTCTCTGGATCTGTTTGCTGCTTGTCTTCAAAGTCACTATATCAGGGGTCCTCAAACTTTTTAAACAGGGGGCCAGTTCACTGTCCCTCAGACACTGTTGGGGGCCGCACTATAGTTTGAAAACAATTTGAACTAATTCCAATATAGACACACACAGACATGTACAGACACACACACACACATACAGACATGCATACCGATACACACACACAATGACATAGACACTGAAATACACACACACACACAGACACATACAAACACATACATAGAGACATACATACATACACACACACACACACACACAAACACATACATACAGCAAATTGTTCTTACTTTTTTGCAGGAGAGTGGCTTTGGCTGATGGGAGTCGGCGTGGCTCTTCTGTCCTCGCGGCCTGTCTCTTCTTTCCTGCGCGGAGGGAGCTGGGAGGAAGTGACCGAACGTCACATCCTCCCAGCACTACTTGCAATTTTTTTTTTTTTTTTTTTTAAGGGGCCTGGTCGCGCTATTGCACAGCCGCAGCGCTGACCGGGCCCCTAAATATATAGTGGTCATCGAGTGACCCTAAATGCTGGGGCTGGGTTCAGGACCCTGGCGGGCCGTAGTTTGAGGACCCCAGCATATTGTATGTGAGCTGTAATCTATACAGTGTGCACAGATAGCAGTCACGCCAAGACACAAGTGTCAAATTCATATCAATGTGACCAATCTCGATCTTCCCTGCTAGGAAAACTTTACAGAAAAGGTCTGTTTTATCTGAACTGCCTCGGAACTCTATATTAACAGTAAACATCTTCAGGACTATTCTATTTTGTGTTCTCAAAGTATCTTTCCTTTCTTTGGCAAAACTCACCTCTTCTGTATCCTCTTCTGTATTTGGATTCAGGGGTGCAATGGGAACCACTCTCCAACTGCAGGAACAGAGCAGAAAATAGGGAGAAAATGGTTAATGGGGTATAATATGTAGATTACAGTGAAACAAACTGCTTAGGGTCTTTCCTAAGCCAAAACAAAAATAATTCAGACAAGGACAATCATAGGTGTCTTTATTACTACCAAGCATAACATTTTAGAAACTCAGTGGTAATTAAATTTATGAAACTAGCAACTGTTTGAAGAGAGGAAGCTGTAATTTTCTAGACATTTGCAGACATTAAATGAGTGGAATTCGTTCCTGGCAGAGAAAGTTGTTCCTCTACTGGGTGGTAATCATTCCTGATGAGCGATCCCTTATAGAGTAAATTTTGTTTTGCAAAGGTAAGTAAATATGTGTTTGCACAGTTTGGGGAGTGAAGAGGTTAATCAACATACCTGGGAGTAAGGATCTCTTTGTATTGCAATCTCTCCACTCTGGTGGTCGCAGCCACTGACATGGGGATCACAATGTTGTTGATATCATAGGAACTCTCAGTCCTTCGTCTCCGGGCAGCCTAAGGAATGACAATGGATGCGTGAGCAAACAGAATGGGGGACATGTGTTATAGAAGGGGGAGCAGCTGGTTTGCAAAATCAATTTGCTTAAATTTGTGCAATGGTCATTATTTGATGTTGGCCTCTATTCAATATTACAGTTTGCTGTAAGCATAAAAGGAACACATTTTTATTCCTGACCCTATATTGTTATAAAAAAGCCAAGGTGGCAGGGGCTAAAAAAACACCCTGGCCAATCAGCATCTCCTTAGATCAACGCCTGTAACCCAGGAAGCACCTCTGCTGGCCATCTGAGGAATGGTCAATAGATGTGTTCCTAGGAAGTAATGTAAACACTGCCCTTTCTCAAATCTGGGGACTATCGTGTCTCTATAAAAAATAAAAATAAATAAAACCAAGAAAAATCTAGAAGGTTTATCTTTCTTTTAAACTTGAAGTGTCGTGCCAAATGTGACCTCTATTCACTCATCTAATTCTCCTCCCATCGATTTCAAGGAACAAAAATAATATGTTAAAGGTGCACTGGGCAAAACAGCTCTCGACTTTTTACTTTTTGTAGTTACAGAACAGGAACTTGATCTACCACTTCCACATTAAAGGACCACTCTAGGCACCCAGACCACTTCAGCTTAATGAAGTGGTCTGGGTGCCAGGACCTTCTAGGGTTAACCCATTTTTTATAAACATAGCAGTTTCAGAGAAACTGCTATGTTTATCAATGGGTTAAGCCTTCCCCCAAAGCCTCTATTGGCTGTCTCATTGACAGCCGCTAGAGGCGCTTGCGTGCTTCTCACTGTGAAAATCACAGTGAGAGCACGCAAGCGTCCATAGGAAAGCATTATGAATGCTTTCCTATGCGACCGGCTGAATGTGCGCGCAGCTCTTGCCGCGCGTGCGCATTCAGCCGACGGGGCGGATCAGAGGAGGAGAGGAGGCAGAAAGCTCCCCGCCCAGGGCTGGAAAAAGGTAAGTTTTAACCCCTTTCCCCCTTCCAGAGCTGGGCGGGAGCACCCTCAGGGCACTATAGTGGTCCTTTAATGAGAGAACAAGCTGGTAGAATTAAAGTAGTGTCAGTTTTGGGGCAATTTAAACAGGTATTTTAGTCAGGAAAAGTATTGCACCTGGATTTAAAAAAAAAAAAATCAAAACTGTACATGTGGTTTGTGTTCCAATAATCATGTCAATTTTAGATCATGTTAATATTTTTTGATTGGGAAAGTTCCTTGTAGGATCTATTGACTCCAATCTGCATTTGAATCTGTAAGACCAATATATTATGAAATGTAGCCACTAGAGGGGGCTGTAAATGCCATTACTAGAAGGAAAAACCTCATAATATATTACGAAGGATTGCATCAGAGGTTTAACTTATCGTATTGTTGTCTTAGATTAGTTTCAAAAACAGTTTTTCTTCATGACTGAGCAAGTTCCATCCCAGAGAATTATCATGGAATACATAACCTTCACATAGTTTTTTTTCCTTTAGATATTCAGATAGGGCCAGAGAGAAAACAAAAAACACACACACAAAAAGCCAAATTTCGATGTATGGATATTTCCATATTTACGTATATTGTTACCTCGTCTCTCATACTACATAGTCTGTTATGGTTAACTCAAACATGATTGTGGACTACAATTCTCATGATGATTAGAATGCCTAAAGACTGATCGAAGATAAAGTGCACACATGCCAAAATATTTTTATTTTTCTTATCCTGAAGACTCAAGAGGCCTGGGTTGAGTGAAGCCTTAGGCAATCTATTGATTTACATCCAATCACTAATCATCAACACACATCGTGCACAAATAAACCTCAATGGAATTTTCAGGATAATTTCACCTTTTCATAAAAACGCAGCATGAATTAAAACGAAAACTGGCAACAACTGCTCATGTTGTAACCCTTTCAGGACAAGACAAAGACTTAAAGGACCACTATAGGCACCCAGACCACTTCAGCTTAATGAAGTGGTCTGGGTGCCAGGTCCAGATAGGATTAGCCCTTTTTTCTGTAAACATAGTTTCAGAGAAACTGCTATTTTTACCTATGGGTTAATCCAGTCTCTAGTGGCTGTCTCATTGACAGAGGGCTTCTGCACTTCTCACTGTGATTTTCACAGTGAGAAGACGCTTGCGTCCATAGGAGAGCATTCAGAATGCTTTCCTATGGTATGGGTCTTACCGCGCATGCGCATTCAGCCGAAGAGGAGAGCTCTCCGCCCGGCGCTGGAGAAAGAGGTAAGTTTAACCCCTTCCTCTACATCCAGCCCGGCAGGAGGGGGACCCTGAGGGCACTATTGTGGTCCTTTAAAAAGACAGACGTGCCACTTTATCTGTCCAGAAGGGGGTTAAATTGATATGTAACACCAAACAAAAACAGCTTCCCAAAACTCTGGAATCACTACTGGACTTCCAGTTAAATCGCCCCTCCCCCCAAAAAGTTATAAAAATAGTCTCCTTTACCCAATGTGCCCTTAACACAGGAGGAGGCAAAAAAGTAATCAAATAAAAAGGACACATGCTGGGCAGATGAATTGCAATCTAGTGGCACACAGTCAAGTCTCCCTCTTTCCTGTTTTGTGATATTCCTGGAGGTTTTGTCATGGTGATAACATCATGAGGAAGTAACCAGCTATGCAGGAGAACACTGTAGGGGGCTGATAGCACATGCCGAAATTTAAGCAGCCTATTCATTAGTCACTTACTGGAAACCGAGTCTAAAAAAAGTGACTGACCCCTGCTTAATATAAGGGGTGAGTGAGTCCCCCTCTCACTGTGTGCAGTTGGTAAAAACCTTTCCAGCCACATCCAGGGTGATGAGACAATCATGCAAATCCATACAGTGATAAAGAAAAGGTTGTCTATGCTTCACAGGGAAAAAAAAGAAGGAAGATATGTTTAACCCCTTAAAGGACCACTATAATGCCAGGAAAACATACTCGCTTTCCTGGCACTATAGTGCCCGGAGGGTCCCCCTCCCGCCCGGCTCTGGAAGGGGGAAAGGGGTTAAAACTTACCTTTTTCCAGCGCTGGGCGGGGAGCTCTCCTCCTCCGATCCTCCTCGTCGGCTGAATGCGCACGCATTCAGCCGGTCGCATAGGAAAGCATTTACAATGCTTTCCTATGGATGCTTGTGTGCTCTCACTGTGATTTTCACAATGAGAATCACGCAAGCGCCTCTAGCGGCTGTCAATGAGACAGCCACTAGAGGATTTGGGGGAAGGCTTAACCCATTCATAAACATAGCAGTTTCTCTGAAACTGCTATGTTTATAAAAGAATGGGTTAACCCTAGCTGGACCTGGCACCCAGACCACTTCATTAAGCTGAAGTGGTCTAGGTGCCTAGAGTGGTCCTTTAAGGACCGGCCTGTTTTTGCGATGTTGTACGTTAAGGACCAGAGCAGTTTTGACACTTTTGTGGTGTTTGTGTTTAGCTGTAATTTTCCTCTCTCTCACTTACGGTTCCCATACAAGTTATATATTGTTTTTTTCAGGACAAGAAGGGCTTTCTTAACATACCATTATTTGCCTCATGTCATATTTTATTTAAAAAAAAAAAAAAAAATATAGTGAAAAATTTAAAATAACATGAGTTTGGACTTTTACTTGAAAAATATTTTACTTATCTACAAAAGCTATGAAAAAAAACTGCCAAATAGATTTAAAATGTTGTCCCGAGTTTAAAAAAAACCCAGTGTTTACATGCTTTATTGCAAGTTATAGGCCTATAAATACAAGTAAGAAATTGCTGTTTCAATATACATTATATATACACAATATATATATATATATATATATATATATATATATATATATATATATATATATATATATATATATATATATATATATATATATATATATATTTTAAATTTATCAATAGTGACATTGTATCACCGTTATCTGTCATAAATCCCCGAATCACACCTCACATGTACATATTTTTTTAAAGTAGACAACCCAGGGTATTCAAAATGGGGTATGTCCAGTCTTTTTTAGTAGCCACCTAGTCACAAACACCGGCCAAAGTTAGCATTTATATTTATTTGTGTGTTAAAAACGCAAGAAACGCTAACTTTGGCCAGTGTTTGTGACTAAGTGGCTACTAAAAAAAGGCTGAACATACCCCATTTGCAATACCTTGGCTTGTCTTCTTTTGCAAATGGTATGCCATCATGGGGGTAATTCTCATTCCTGGGCTACCATACGCTCTCAAAGGCAACCTAACCAATCTGACAACTTTCAATATAAAAAAATAAAAATAAAAAGGTAAAATCAAGCCTTATATTTGACGCTGTAACTGTCACAAACACTATAAAACCTGTACATGTGGGGTATTGTTATACTCAGGAGACTTCGCTGAACACAAATATTAGTGTATCAGAACAGTAAAATGTAGCACATCAATGATATCATCAGTGAAAGTTCCACTTGTGTGTGAAAAATTTAAAAAAACGTCACTTTCACTGACAATATCATCGCTGTGATAGGTTTTACTGTTTTGAATCACTAATATTTGTGTTCAGCGAAGTCTCCCGAGTAAAACAGTACCCCCATGTACAGGTTTTAGGGTGTCCTAGAACGTTGCAGTATTAAATACAGTGCTAGCAAATTAAATTCTCTGGACTTTAGGCCTGGGTTGTCAGGCAGGTCCCTCAAATTGCAATCATTAAAATTACTTAATTAGGTAAAAATATTACATATATATGCACATAGAATTTGAATATATACATATTTATATATTTGACGTCTACATGTATATTTATTAAATTATTTATGTAATTATGTATCTATATTTCGTATTATGTTTATTTATACATTACATTCTAAGTGTATTTTGATATAAATATATATATTAATATCAAAATACTGTTCGAATAAAATTATTTAATATATATATATATATATACACACACACACTATATAGTTATTATATATATTCTATATATACACACACACGTGTGTAATTTAAATATAAGTGTATTTTTATATTAATATATGTTTATATAAATATAAAAATACACTTACATACATACACACATTTTTATTTTTATTTTTTTTAAACACGGATTGCTATTTTTTTTAAACTTTATTTTAGAATTTTTCACTTGCAGGGAGACTGCCTCTCAGCACGGACAGTCCCCCTGCAGGCAGACACACAGGCATCTATTGCGGCCATGTGATTGAGCGATCACGTGGCCATGGGGTCCTGATCATCCCCCTGGACTGGGAGGAGCACTGATCGCCGCCGGGGGACTGACTGCGATCAGGTAAGTACCCCCCAGACCGTTATGACGGTTCAGGACCATCATCGGTCCTCAGGGGATGTTTCCGATGATGGTCCTGAACCATCATCGGTCGTCAAGCGGTTAAAGGGACACTATAGCAAAAAGCCTAAAGGGGTGATTCTACTCACCAGAACAAATGCAATAAGTTGTAAACACTGTTTATTCAGAGAAAATGCATGGTTTACATTACAGCCTAGTAATAACATCACTGGCCACTTCTCAGATGGCTGCTAGAGGTGCTTCCTGGGGCAGTGCTGCAGTGTGACTGCCATTCAGTATCTCCACCGTCTGCATGCAGACACTGAACTTTCCTCAGAAATGCACTGATACAATTCATCTCTATGAGGAGTTGCTGATTGGCCAGGAATGCCTCTGCCCCTGATCTGCCCCTGATCTTGGCAATCTCAGCCAATCCTATGGCATTGTGATTGGCTCAGAACACTACTTCTGGTGATGTGAGCAGGCAGGTCAGAGGCAGGCAGGGGTAGAGCCAGCAGCTGTTGACTTGAATACAAATAAGATTTTACTATATTTAGAGAAGCAAGGGGGGGTCAGTGGGGCGAGATGGTGTTTTTAAAACTATAGGATCGGGAATACATGTCTGTGTTACTGACTCAATCCAAGCACCATAATCACTACATCCCAGCACCCACACATAGTAATCTGGCATACCATTTAAAACAGTTTGACATCTTAAATGGCTGTTGATTTCTTCTTGCAGTAGAAACTGGTCCGCTCTAGTGAGTCAAGCAGATCCAATCTTATTGAGAGTCTCAGCAAAGCAGTCTCAGACTTGCTTTGTGAAAATATTCAGTAGTACACAGTGGGCGCCACAGAACCCAGACAAGCTTTTGTTCTAAATTGGTTCGACAATTAGGACACTCTTGGCACCATAACATCTACGCCAGGCTGCAGTGATTACTGTGTTTGGAGTGTTCCTTTTACAGGATGGCTTGCATATTGTGCTATATTATTGATCATATTTAATGGATTGTATTATTTTTCTTATATATTATTGTTCTTTGGTAAAAAAAAAAAAAAATGTGAATTTATAAAACATGAAAAACAATGTTTCTAAGTAGAGGACAAGAACAAAAAAACAAAAAAAAAACAAGTTGTGGCTTAACAGTTAAATTACCACTTATAACTCAAGCAGCATTGTGCAATAAAATTTCATGCAAACTGATGATACAACAACATAACACAATTCAAATGCATACACGCACCGCAAGGGCCTGTGATGGGGTCCCAAGGGAGCCTTCAGTAGGAGCAGATAGCTGGCGCGTGAGAGGCGGCTGCAAGGTAGGGAGGCCGACATCTGATGATGGACTGGGCACAGAAGAGTCAACGTGTCTTCCTGTGGTTTAAACAGAGATATTAGTATCTAAATCGGAGAATCAACCATGTTGTGTTTGAGTTGACATTCCATCAATGCAGTTTAACCTTACCATTTCTCTCCAAATGCCCAAAAGGACGCTTCTTGCTGTGGGGTGTGGTGATTGAGCTGGAACGATCAGGCCGAGAGCCAAAAAGCTTTTCACACTTCAAGGTACGAAGAGATGATTCCAAATGCTGTTTTGGTGGCATCTCCGGGGGAGGCCGCTGGAGAGTGAGCCCTGTGTTTGTAAGGATGAAGATTACAGGATGAGAAATGCACACCGACGACAAGTTGATGGAGGACAAAATTTGTTAACAAACAAGTGGAAACAGAAGGTTTGAAACTCACTGTGTGGATAAAGGGTCCCAGTTACACGTTCCCCACGGGTAATATCATGAGTGGGGTTGAGCTGGTTTGGAAGGCGATGTTTCAGCTTTTTCAGAGCTTTAGCCTTTTCCACTTTGTCATGAGAACGAAGAAGTGAGAGGTGTCGTAGACTTGCTGGGATGTCTACGGAGAGAGCAAAAAGTAACCTCAAAGAGCACATTCAAAGCTGCAAACTTATTTTCATCTACGCTAGTTTCTCACTGCATTAAAGAGACTATAGAACATCTATCAAGCAGCGTACACCATACGAATAAAACACTTACAATAATCTGCCCTGTTGTGAAAAAGGGCTGCATTAGTGAATAAATGCATTCCACAAGTAACATTATGAAACCGTAAGCAACATAAAATTCTAAATGGAACTCACCATCTGGGAAGGATAGGACAGGATGAATAGCTGGGTCCAACACAGCCAGTCGTTCACACGGTGGGTCACTGTATGGGAATATGGGAGCAGGTCCAGCAAAACTAGCACACATAATGCACGATTGGGAGACCTCGCACAATCTGGGAACACTGTGTTGAGCCTGGGGAGATAAGAAGAGGTTACATGACATTTGGTGTGATCTCAAGACAACACTTAGATCCAAGAACTGGCTTTTACACTTTCGTGCCCTACTACTTATTTCACCATGAAAAATTCATCCTTAGTTACTGCAATCTCGCTAGATCACCATGGCTTCCGTGTAACTTTACTAAAATCTACTGCAACACATCTTACTCATCAATCCATCATAGAACATGCTGCAACACCACCTACTCACGCATCCCTCCGCAACACCCACTTCATGGGCTTGTTGTTGTTCTTTCAAACTTTTTAATGCTATCCCTCTCTCTTTAACTCATTATTATTTGTAAACTACATGGCTTAGATGGACTTCATGGAAACTAAAAGATTAAACCAAGCATGTTCAATCAGAGTTCAAATAAAACAAATAAAAATCCTAATTTGGTAGTGTAAACCTGGAGTTCAAAAAACAAAACTAACCTCAATTAAGTGGGAAATTAATATTTTATAAAAAGACATTGATTGCTGCAGAATGACATGCAGTGTACTACCAGATAATCTAATCACCAGAAAGCGACTGCAAGTAGAAACAAAGGTCTAATCCTCACAGACTGAGATTTACCGCATTATGGTAAACAAGAGAACGCCTGGCTTTTGGTCCCCAGGGAAGACCACGGACTAATAAAGGTCTTACAGAAAGGAGCTAAATGCTGCAATAAAGTAAATGACAGAAGAAGGGTTGGGGGCAGCAACAAAATGTCATATGTCCATCTGCAATAATTAAGGTCACAAAATTTTATAGCAATTGTAAGAGAAAAGAGAGAGAGAGGAAAACAAATTATCGTAATTAATAAAAAAATAAAAAAACAATACAAAACAAAACTTTTGTTCAGTTTCGCAGTGTGCTACACTATCAGCAAAAGATTTAATGTCCTTAATAATGGTTTTAAGAAACAACTTTGTATAATTGTTTTCTTAACTCTGCAGTGTAAGACTGCCCCTAGTGGCAATCTACCAGACAGCGACTAGAGGCGCTTCTTGCAGTTTTACTCGGGGATACAACGCTGGAAGTATGCACGCTTTGCATGAGGACGTTCCACGTCCACAAAATCCCCACAGGAAAACATTGAGGCAATGCTTTCATATGGAGAAGGCATTATACGTGCGAAGCACTTGCCTCTCATGCACATTAAGTACCCCATCAGCTGACTTTAGGAATAACGTTTTGTATTCTTAACACTATCGTTTTCCTTTAAAAGAAGACTCCTTCTTAGTGCATGAGATAATTCTATGAGCAGAAAATGTTAAATAAAAAAAATAAAATGCAATTCCTGCGTATGTTGTAAATCACCAGTTGAGTACTCAAACCAGGAAGTAGCTGAAAAATCTAAAGGTCCTATTGTTTTCAACGCAAGCACTTTCTCTGAACTTCTAACCAACAAGACCGTGGACTACACAACTCATCACATGGAGGTAGTGAGCGAAATAGTGTGCCGAAGTTTCTATCAGATTGATAAATAGCCCCACTGATATACTTCTAGATAAGCAGAGCTTTTTAAACAGACCATTAAAGTACCAGTCAGAGATAAAAAGCACATACCACACAAGCTTTGAAGGGACAGCAGTGGAATGCAAAGATTTGGAATGGAAATTGCTGCAGGTACACAAATTAATTGAGAAGCCTAGGAGAATAAATGGTTATTATGCTGGGAGTGTCCCTTTAATAGTCTACAGAACGTGCAGTTTCTCATCTACGAAAGACGGGGCCGCATATCGGTGGAAGAGTATTTTAATCATCCTGAATCTCGAGCAAAAGAAGCAGACGGTGAAATAGCTTCCACCTCAATTTGTATTTAGTATAACTGCCTACACAGTGTTCCTGAACAAGTGTGTACCTCTGAGCAAAATAAAAAGGTTCAAAACAAAGACAACTATTGATATCTGATGAAAGAAAATTTCTTTGAGCTATTCTTTGACACATTTTCTTTGAAAAGCCAAAAACGATCGAACGTCACAAAGTCTTCTTGTCCGATACTTGTCCGATTATTGTAATCTCTCTCACTCCTATGGTTACTTAGTAGCAAATACCACCAAGACTGGCAAGAACATTTCACATTACGCACATTTTTATAAAGGAACATGGTTGCCTCTCATCATTCTCAGCCTATAGTTAAAGTCCAAAGAAGAATAGTTCATATTCATAAACAACCAATAGCGTGGGGCCAAGCTATAGGTAAAGTTTTGCGTCAAACCATTTAAAGGCAATTATTAAATAATTTTTTTCCCCGTAATCGGTACAATGAGCTTCAATGTTATGGAGCTTGTAGCGTCCCTTTAAATAAATGATTTTGAAAAAACGCCTTTAAACCTAATTTTTCAGCAATTTGCCCAGCATAGACACCAGGATAATGTTGCCCATCAGAGATTAAAGGGGATATTTGTGGTTTAGTTAAAATGCAAAAATGGCATCTCTTGTTAGCGAGGAGTAGCCAATTAAAATAACCTGGACTTAAGGACCAGTGTTTTGGCGCGGCCTTACCTTTCTGTGGAGGGGTAATAGTCGCTCTGGTCTGACTACCCTCCTCCTCTTGCAGGACTGAAGCGGTCTTGCTCTGGCGCACACACAGCTCCCATCTGGAGTGGAGGGTTGGGGCTTGTTGAGGGGTTCATCTTGATTTTCTGAGCTACACCTGTTTGAAGATCCAGGGGGGTTCCTGGCAATAAACGAGAGACCAAAGGCACATATTAGCCACAGGAAAGAGAAGTGCACTGTATTGCCAAACCTCAAAAATCATAGAATGGATAAATGGTATTGAAAATCTGCAGCAGCCAATATGAACTTTTATTAAAGTCTTTTTTATCCCTTTTTTTTTTTTTTTTTTTTAAATCTAAAGATTTGACAAAAACTGCCCATTTTAGGCTGGAGTGGGTGGGGCACTACGCAAACTGGAGAATGTTTTCACTTTGACCGTTTTGGCCTGATTTACAATTTACTTGTCCATTCCAAAAGAATGACAAATACTACACACTATCAGCAGAAGTGGTCAAGATGAGAAGAAACAAATTAGTCCGATGAAAGACACCACGTGTAACTGTACCCACTAGATTGTATAACAATCAATGATTGATGGAAAATAAAAAAAATACAAATTTAAATCTAAGTTTTATTGAGATAATGTTTTTTAGTTTTGAATTGTTTTTCTTTTAATAAAATGCTTTCGGATGAAAAAATACATAACCAATTGCTTTAATGTGAGGCTGTATATTCATGCAAACTTTATACATTTTGAAAATTAATTCCATTGATCCAAGTTAATTGAACTTGAGTCCTCGGAGATAACATGCACTTTTTTTTTTTTTCACAGAAAAAATGTTCTATGATAAACATATGAAGTTCGAAAAACAAACTTAATCCCATTGTCATTCTCTAAATCTATGTGTACACAATGAGCAGCTTTCCTTAAAAGGCTACTCCAAACACCATGACCACTTCAGATGGTGTTTGGAGTCTGAATGTGCAGATTTTGACATGAAATTCTGCACACATACAAAGATATTTTATATTGCGGTCAGGGGTGTAACTCCGCCTCCAGCAACGGCACTTGTACGTTGTTAGCCAGCCCGGAAAAGGTTGTTAAAGATTAGGATCACCCGGTAGCAGAGAAGGCTTGGCCCGGGGAGAGTACCCAGGTAAGGAAGCAAACCATTGCAATTTATGGGTTTTTTTTGGTTGTTTTAAAGATATTTTGCTTCAGTTAAACATTGATGATTGATGATTAAGCAAATACATTATTAACTCGCTTAGTATTTTAATTAAACTAAATTTAAATTGTTAAACTGTTCTCCAAATAGAAGAATGATCGACTTTTTAAACTGGAGATAGTTCACGCTGCGATAATTCCACCATTGTCTACGCATATTTAATGGTATGCAACAATATCAGTTCTCATGCAGCGGTTACAACAACCTGAAAATGTATCATTCTGAATAAGGAATCATCTGGACGAAAATATTAATTATAAACAACCTGCAAGAATGATTTAAAAAAAAAAAAAATAAGGATTTAAATAGAGTCTTACTAACTAGTGACTTAAATAAAACCCACTATACTGGTAACCCGTTATCCTACCAATAAGGGCAAAGAAAAAACAAACTTCATCCCCCGTCTGGGATGGCAATAGCATCAGTTGCACGTGACACAGACCAATCTGCTATCTGTACTTTATACTTACATATTGACTACTCCATTAAGAGGCCTCTGCAGTGATTTCGATTCCCCAGAGCCTGGATCACCCTGTAAGGATACAGAAACTGTTAGAAATCCTTCCATTACAATGACCATCTCAAAATGAAAAACTACACGAGGCCAGCTCCATTGAAAGAATTAGTGCTTACGTGACAAGTGCAGCTGTGCATGTAGACAGCAGGGGGAGCTGCAGTCACTATGTATGGGCCTTACAATGAGCCGCCAAAACTCGCAGAGAGATGTCACGGGCACCTGGAATAACTGCTGTGCTCTAATTTATAGGACAGATGGGATGGGTGAGGGATAAGTAAAATGCATTGCTGGAGCTGGGTATATTTTTCACATAATTATTATTTGTAGTGGTTGATATCAGAACAAGGACTACGCCAAGGAAAATGCAGAAACAGAGTCAGTTTAGATATTCTCTCTTCTCAGTAGATCAGTCCATTTCCTTGCTATGCCTTGCACTCGGCACTCCACGTTCTCACCTGTCTCTCCGTTTCCAACACCACTGATGTTCTTTTATCGGAAGGGAAACGGTGCAAATCATTTCCCGAAGAACTACCCCCAGAAGAAGACTCCCCAAGCACAACTTGCCCCTGCAAACAAAGAAACGGACATTAAATTTAAAATAGAATGAAAAAAACAAATAAGCACACTCCGGTTATATTTATTAACATCTTATCTTCTGTGAGCTGAAAAATAATGTGCAATGGAGGCCAATAGCGTAATACCTTTAACAGGACTTACATTTGTAAGTCCTATGCCATTAGCCAAGCCTTAAAATTTACTTGCCAGTGCAAGGGGTGAATTTTTACCCACCAGGGTTACATTTTTACTTGCCAATGGCTACTGCGAACATTGAACCCTACCTTTATTGAAAAGTTAAAAAGAAAAGGCGTAGTGAAAAAAGAGGTGATTGGGTGCACGCACTATATAATCCGAATGTAGCGGACCGCGACACCAGCACAAATATTTGGAGTATACATATTAAAAGGTTATGCTAACTCTCTTTGGCTCCGGGTCCCTAGCTGTATACCGATCAGCACTGCTTCTTCAATTGACGCCCGCGGTCAAGAGCTCTTCCATCTTATTCGACATGTTTTGAGAGGTGAACTCCTCCCTTCAATTATTCACATACAGCAGAGGGTCCCCACGTGGGCAATCATGAAGAGGGGTAAGAACAGCACAACAAACATTAGTTCTGTTGGCGTGGGCCACTACACGCTGATTATATAGCACTGGTACATAAGCACCTCTTGTGAGCATGTTTGGTTTCTTTTACTACATCTATATGAAAGATTGTATACTATCAAAGCCCTTTATCTGCAATTTCTTTATCAGATCACCGTTTGTTTATATATGCACACTTTGTAACGTAGCAGTTTTTCCCCTTTTAGAGGAGAGCGGTGGAGCATTATTTAACCTTATAAGAAATCTCTTTGCTAAGTGAACTAGCCTAGCCCTATGGTTCTTTGGACAGTAATTCACTTTGGCTTCATTTATATTTAGTTTTTCATCTCCATATTAGGTTATTACATCTGTAAAAAGTGTACTTTATGAAAATATTAGCCCCCCCCCCCCCAACAAATATTTTCAAAAAAATTAGGTGTCATATTGTAAAACACAAATCATGTTGGCTTTAGGTCACGTTTCCTGTGATCGTGCTTTTCTATTTACCCCAGAGAGAATTTCAATTGCTCTTTAAAAAAATATGTAAATACAAGGTTTGTTGTAATGTATATCTATACTTTTTTTTTTTTTCTTGCCAACATGGGTAGACAAGCACACATTTCATCCAAGAAAAAGAAATGTATTAATAAAAGTTAAAAATAGACATGTGCCAAAAAGGTGTGGTGGCAGTCGGGAGACCACACTGCATAATCTGTCAGATCAAGGTAAAACTGGGACAGTGTGCTAATTTAGGAGCAATTGCCATGGAAACCAAGGGGAAGTTCCTGCCATTGCCTCACACATGCAAACTATTTCCCTCGAAAAACAGACATGCGCTAGAGCTTGAACAATCAAACACCTTACCTTGCCAGCTCTCAGCTGTCGATAGAAGTCTGTGTGTTGGCGGATTCGGTATTCCAAGTCCGATACATGAGCCTGCAACCAGTTCCACCGGCTCACCACATCCGCCCGTTCCTGAGCCCAGCTCCATGCACAGCGACGCTTCCTGCAACCGTGGCCAAAATGACAGTCAGACATTTTACCACTAATCTTACCAAGCGGAGATGCATGCTTTTTTTTTTTTTTTTTTTAAACACATTCATGTTTTTTATTTTGATAAAATGTTGAAGAGAAATACAAAACACACTTTAAAATGCACTCTAAGATATTGTGGGCATTTCTTTCGACCCAAACTGGTTTACGTTTATCTAAAAGCAGACAGAAAATCTGGGTTGGCAACAGGCAGAGAGAGGGGGGGAGAGGGAGAGTGTGTGTGTAACTATCGCTGGTGGAGTGGCAAATATCAACCAATTAGCCTAGGTATTTCTACAAATAAAACGTAACTTAATATAGTGATTAAGAGGTGAAATAAGTCACCACAACAAAAAGAAAAGGAATACAAAATTCAGACAGAAATAATAATGTACATATTTACAAAACAATTATCCTGAGTGGAGCTATAATGTCTGTAAGTGAAAATCTGGTAGTTCTACCCAAATATTGGGATAATGAATGCAGTGTAAGGTAGTAGAGGCTGTAGCTTTGTGAGTTCAGGTTAAGATATTTGCTGCTCCACCAGCGATACAGTTATTATTTCTCGCTCTCTCCTGGCAGTTCCCTTTTTACCCCCTCGCTTACAATATATTTAATGCACAGACAGACAGGGCTCAAAATTCCAAGTGCTAGGCAGGCCTAAGGATTACATGTCACTAAAAACCCAAAGTCAACATTCTGTTTTTCATTTACATCTTATTTATTAGTTTAGAGGGAATAAGAGCTATGGGGAGAAGAATTCCCTTTTAAAATAAAAAGAATATAGAACTCTCGGATGGGGGAAACACACAAAACTAAGACATTAACAGAGACGCTTGCAATATTTTAAGACGTACGCCATTATTGCATTGCAAATACACAATTTTTCACTTCATACGCCGTGAATCACGTTCCTGATAAGTCATAGTTTACTCGCTGCTTATGGCATTTATTTACCTAGTCCTGACACCAGCAGGTTTTTTGACCTCACAGGAGGGTCCACAGTTACCTCCATATCCCTATTTTTCACTGCTCACTTGCATCCCACAACAAAAAAAAAAAAACTGGAGGATTTGGGTCCCCCAACCACGAGTTAATTTGCAAGTTCCTGAAGAATATATATATATACACATTATTTAATTTTTTTAAGACAAAAAAGAGCACTCATGTATCTCAAGAGGAAGTGGTGAGATGCCATCAGGTAAACATGCACAGATGTGCATTTCGTATAAGCCCTGCACAGCATTACCCCAAGTAAAACAGATAGACATGTGCAAATATAACAGCTTGTAGCTTCTCGTGCATGGGGACGGGGGGGAGGGGTAAGATTTCTTGCACACAAACTGAATCCATTTGAGTCTTGCAAGTGGGCTGGTTCATTTTTTTTTATTTAAACTCCAATAATTAAGATTTTTGAAAATGTACGTAGGCTTGCTCTCACAAATAAATTTATAGAAACCTCATGATTTGCTGTAAACTCTCAGCCATTCCCCCTGTGTGAAAAAGAGGTCATTTGTTACATGTGACAAAACGGTTTCTGCTGTTATGGCAACAAAGTCATTTAACCCATTAGTTCTAATGTGTCACTTGACCACAGCCGAGCAGTAATAAGCCCCCAAGAAAATGTCAACGAGGTAAAACGTGGCAGGATAAAAATCATTTATAGCTCGAAGGACAGCTATTGAAAAGTAACAACGTTCCAAACAGCAACATTTCCTTATAAATGTTTTATATTTAGTACCGATCAGAACGAGCGTTTTTTTTATGAGACGGCTAGAAACCACGCACAATGCAGAAATTGGAGAATCAAATAATAATAAAAAAAAAAATAATACATTCGAAAACATTTTTGGATAATTTCTTTTTTGGCTCTTAAATTATCTGATGGCCAAGTTATCCGATTAGCACTATATAATCCAGTTAATAAAGTACAGATCTCTTAAAATCAACACAGATACGAGTCAGAATTTTCCATACAACCCCATTTACTTCCCAACTATAACAAAGATGTTGATAATCTCTCAATAGGGGGCTAGAACAGCCTTGGAACTCAGAGAAGCGAAGAGGAGATGACGCAGGAACTTATCAAGACCATCCCAGGCCACCCAAGGTTATACATAAAATCTCTTATAAATAGGCCCGTCATTGCATGAAGTGCTCGCAGAGTAAAAAGAAACAAACCGCAAAGGATTTATAAAAAGAAATGCATCACAGTCACAGTGAATTTATAATATATATAAAAAAAATAAATAAAAAAAAAGGGTATGAGCAGGATAAACTCTGCAAACCAATCTGGACTAGCCAAACTAAACTTTAAACTAAAAAGTGCGTTAACATGAATGTAATGTCTAAGCATTTTAAGTAGTTGCCAAATTAGAGCAAGAGGACAGAAACAGGAAAGATTATGCGACAACCAATGGTTGACTTTGGGTTAACCCCTTCAGGAAATACAAAGTGGCCGGTCCATCATAAAACATTTGCCTAAATTCGTTTATGAAGGGATTAAAACTATGAATAGCCGAGAGAAGCAAAAAAATGGACTATGATATGCCACAATAAGGGTACGTCGGTACTGTGAAAGCCCGATGCAACGAATGATCATCAGGTCTTATTTGAGCCAAGACATGAACATTTATAAACGGGACAAACATTAAAGATAGGTCGGAACAGAGGGCACTGGATTCTGTATTTATTAATGCACATGTGGCTCAGAATGGCTACTCTCTCACCCCTCATTGGCGAGTGGAAATTGTAAGCTGATCCAAGTGGATTTAAAGAGACACTGCAGCCCCAATTCTATAAAATAGAATCACTGTTTAGTATATATACACCCCAATGAAAACAGGTTTGCATTTAAGTATGCATTTCTTTATTGGAGGTATACTTGAAAACAACTTGCAAAAGCTGATGGTCTAAATGGACACTCCATCACCTGAATAAATAAATATAATTAATAAATTAAAAAACAAACAAACAAAAAAAAAAAAAGTTTAGTAGGTATGCCCCAACATAAAAATATGCATCCATTTAATTATAAATTTTTTTTTATTGGGGGTATATCTATAAACCACTTGCAGAAGCTGCAGTTCTCTTGTCTTCAGCACTTTGCAAGCCCTCCCCTTCTAACCCCGCCCAGACTTTCTGTGGCTGTCCAATCACAGACTTCCCAATGCACCTCAGTGAAAAGTATTTGCAAGGCAGGTGCTCTGGGTAATTGCTGCCTCTTGAGTTCATCTCCACTGAGCTAAACAATCAGGGAGTAACAGGACTGGTTGTCTGTGTAACAAGGTTTCTTTAGAAAAGCGCAAATTTCTAAGGAAATTTAAAATTTTTGTAAAATGAAAAGAAAAAAAAAGCAAGCTGAAGTGCTTTAGGTGATTGGAGCTTTCCTTTAAGCATAGTAAACACAGCCGTGTGGGTAAAGGGAGATCGTCAGAGGATTTTGGGTTGCAGATTATTCTATTGAATGTGGAGTATAATCTATACGAAAATAAAGTTTGTGCCTTCCGCGGTTGCCAGAGGAATGCTTATTTCAGTCTCAATCATCGACAGAACAGTTCATAACAGAAGGGCTTATACTCCTAGGCCAATAGTGTGTGATGTACTCACCGCCAATCAACAAAAAAGGCATTAGCCCATCTCACCTGGAGACCAGAGAACAATGGAGGTGTGTTCTCACGGAGAGGATTTCAAATGCAATTCCAAACCCCATCTCAAACTGGAAATACCAGGACACAGACTGTCTGCATGGTGACCCAATAACTAGGACACGTTATACTTTGTTACCAAGAGGATTCATAAACACATCATCATTACTTGCAGCAATTTGTTAGAGGGAAAAAAAAAAAAAAATAGTCAAAACTCAATCCTTAATTATTGTAGATCTAATAAAATGTAAATGGCGGTGCTCACGAATGAACTATATATCTAAAAACATCAAAAACCACACGAAACTATGTTTTATCGTAGATCACACGTCAGATATTGGTTTCTTTTCTATATCTACGACTATCACTTGTTTACAGTTAAAGTTGCATGAAAATGACTACTCGTTCACTACATTAAGTCACGTGGTTTGTAAAATAGCCACGCACCTTGCTGGATATTTAGAGCAAACCATCGCCATCACCTGTTAAGAGGAGGCGGGGGATAGACCTGAGAGCTGGCACCTAGCCATCATAGGAACTGTCCAATGGAGACAGCGAGCTGTAATCTTCCTGCTCTTCTCACTCACGTGACGTGCTGTGATACCGGGAGCCGACACATGACATCACTCTGGCCCCGGTCATCACTAAACACACTGGACCCCAGGGAAACGATCCAACCCAGCTCTCCCAAAAGTAGGGATGGACTTAAATCAAAATAAAATGAACAATTTGTGTATGAAAAGATGTGTCTTTCCGAGTGTGTCCGTCTGTTTGCCAGTGTCCGTCCGTCTGCCTGTGGGCCTGTGTGTGCCCGCCTGTCCGTGTCAATATTGGTACTTTAATTCTAAAAATGCAAGGCATGTTCATGGTCACAAAAAGCCAAGAGAAAAAAAATTGACACACTGCATTAAACATCTGGTGTGTCACATCAGAATATTATCTGCATAAGGTAAATTTCCATGTGGTTTGGTTCTAATCTTCTCTATGTGTAAATTTAAAGGAACACAATAGGTCAGGGCTTGACAAATGTGTTTGGAATCTAGGAGCCAGAAAAATCAACGTCAAAAATAAAATTCTTAAAGGGACAGAATAGCCACCAAAACCACTACAGCGTAATGTTGTTCTGAAGTCTATATTCAGTCCCTTCCCTATGAGAAGTTAAATTGTCGTGTTTTGCCGTGAATGAGCAATAGTTTCCCAATGCTTTCCTATGGAAAAGCATTGGATTGGCTGAGATCGTCATGATTGATGATCTCCGTCATGGAGGTGGGACCAGCCGCAGCATCACCAGCACAGCGTGGGCGTAAAAACACCTTCCCAATGTGATTGGAGGGAACACACACACACACACACACACAATCCAGTCTCCCTACCTCTGGAGAGCTGGAGTGGATAGGCTTTCCCTGGGGTCCAGCGGGCTGCTATCTCCCTACTTGGCTCCCTCTTGCGCACGGTTTAGTGAGCCGGGGGCCGGAGTGATGTCATAACCCAGCTCCTGGCATCACTACAAGCCGTGCGAGGGGGCAGAGCAGGGAGATTACAGCTCCCTTCCTCGCAGCCGCACAAAGTCAGCTGGCCCCTCCCTCAGCTCTCCATTAGTCACCTGGCAGCTCCCTCCCCAGGTCAGCCGCCCGCCTCCCTACCTTAGCTTTCAATGAGTCGGTCACCCCCTCCCCTCACTCACTCAGCCACCTGCTTCAGCCCTCAGTTAGTCGACTGCCTGCCTCTGCAATAGTGCTAATTTATTTAAGTGACTCTCCCCCCCCCCTCTGTTCACATGGGAAAGGTACGGTTTGTACTCTGCAGTCTCGCAGCAGCAGGCCCCACCTCCACGGCAGAGACAATAAATCTTTATGATCTCAGTCAATAGTCAGAAAGCATTGGGAGACTATGGTGCATGCGCGGCAATAAACCACGTTGTGCCAATCAGTACCTCCTCGAAGATGCAGAGCATTGAGACGCTGAACGTAGGTGCTGCACACTGTGCAGCGCTGGACTAGAAAGCACTTCTAGTGGTCGTCTGAGGGACTGCCACTAGAGGTGTTACTAGGCAGCAATGTAAGCACTGCCTTTTCTCTGAAAAGGCAATGTTAACACTGAAAAACCTGCAGGGATAGGCTGTAGACACTAGTACCACTATATTAAGCTGTAGTTGTTCTGGCGACTTTAGCGTACATTTAAGATCTGTTATTTTTGTCACTGAAGAGAGTTTTACTTATTGCAAAGAGCTGTGGGCTCATTTTTACGGGTCTTTTGCTGACATTTGTTATATTTATTTTTTTATTATGACGAAGTTCTGTGATTGCCTTAAATACTTACTTAGTGATACTCAAATGGTAATTACGGCTACATTTACACCTTGGTGAGATGGATATAAGAATGCACTGACTGCAAATATTGTTTTGATTTTCGGGTGACTGAATTAAAATTGGACATTTAAAAAAAAATAAAAAAATTTAAAAAAAATTCCTCGCTCCCTTCCGTAGGAGAAATGAGGGGGGCAGATTCTGAATCAAAATGAATACAGACTACCTAGTTGTGAATCCCCTCAATGCCCCTTTGCGGCTGTATGTAACAGATGGTGAGCAGCCAACTCTTTTCTCCAGAGTAAATCTTAAAATGTGGCTCTGATTGTAATGCTTATGAGAGACGTCCCCATACACTGCCGAGTGTCCGGCATTTGTGCCATGTCGTCGTTTGGGACTTGCCACCGTGATGAACTATGGGTGGGCCCAAAGTTTAAAACAAATGTACTGTTTTGAGTGTCACTTTAACCAGAGCAATGACTCGTACAAGAAGTGGCAGAGCTTGGGAGGCATTTTCAGTACAGAGCTCAACATCATTGCCTCTAAAACCAGCATGGCCTAATGTGAATCTTTCAAAGGCTCAGCAGAGCTGGTACTATAATAAAGCAGTAATTAAACTTAGGGATTCAATAGGAGAGATGAAATATATCACAGTATATGCGGTATTACACGGACTAGTAAATAATGCTTTTATGCTGTGGGGCAAGTGGGGAAAATAGCTTCATTCATGGAAAAAACAAAAACAAAAAAAAACAACAAAAACACGCTGAAACTGCGTGAGTTTGGGCTGGGTTGCCGAATGCTTCAACGGAAAACACAGGGATACAGTTTCCCTGTGGATTATGAGGTTTGTAAATATGATCTGCATGTTGAAATAGCCTCTCACAGACTATAGAGCTAATGGCTAGCAGATATTTACAGATAGGAAACCTTTTCAACGGACAGTATGTCACACACACACCATTGAACATAAACATGTATTAAAATTAAATTATAAAAAGGTATTTTTTTTAATTTAGGACACTGACAGACACCAGTTCTTAGAGGGAGCCTAAAGTCACACAGACCACATGTTTACACGGCAGGGTTGAAGGGACACTATAGTCACTAAAACAATTTTAGCTTAATGAAGCAGTTTTGGTGTATAGAACATGCCCCTGGAGCCTCATTGCTCAATTCTCTGCCATGTAGGAGTTAAATCACTTTGTTCATGCACCCCAGTCACACCTCTCTGCATGTGACTTGCACAACTTTCCTAAAAGCTTCCTGTAATGTAAGATATAATGTTTATCCTTCCTTTATTGCAAGTTCTGTTTAATTTATATTTTCTTATCTGCTGCTATGTTAATAGCATTACTAGTCCCTGCAAGAGCCTCCTGTGTGTAATTTAAGTTCAATTTACAGAGCAGGAGATAAAATCGTTTAAGGTAAGTTACATCTGATTAAAAGTGAAACCATTTTTTTTTTCTTTATGCAGTCAGAGTTAGGGGAGGTGTGACAAGGGCTGCATAAACAGAAACAAAGCGATTTAACTCCTAAATGACTGAACTGAGCAGTGAAACCTGAGAAGCATGACCTATACACTAAAACTGCTTCATTAAGTTAAATTTGTTTAGGTGACTATAGTGTCCCTTTAACACTTCTCTAATGGCAGCACAACTATTTGCCGCGCATGTACACTAGCCTCCCAATACTTGCCTATGAGGAAGCATAAGATTTGGCAGAGATCTTCAATTTTGATGAAGGGGGGATTGGGGAGCATTACGACAAGTACTGGGAAACACGATAGTGTTCCTTTAAAGAGAAATGGTAACTTCTCCCTGGGATAAACATCACGGATTACAACTGCAAAAATCACAAATAACATTTAAAAGGAGACTCCATTGCATGAAATTTTATTTTTTACCAAATCACCGTTTAGTATCTATACTCCAACATAACATCCATGCATTTAAAAGGACACTGTAGGCACCCAGTCCACTTTAGCTCATTGAAGTAGTCTGGGTGCTGTGTCCCTTTTGCACTTAGTGCTGCAATGTAAAAAACATTACAGTTCCCGCAATGCAGGACATCCTCAAACTCTGCAGGACGACATCCAGTTTTCCTATGGGAAGGTCTAATGCGAACGTGGCATTTGCCGAGCATTAGCGCCCGCTCATAAAGGTTTGGGGTGGGATACGCCTACCCTGTGACAAGGGACATCACCGCTGGGATAAGGCAAGTAAATAAAGGGGTTTATTTTGTTTTGTTTTTTTACCAGGGTGGGCGAGAGGGAGGGCTAGAGGCAAAACACCATCTAGCGCTCATGACCCCACCTTGCCTCCCTAAATATAGTAAAATCTTACTTTTGATCCAGTCTGCAGCTGCTGGCTCTGCACCTGATCTGCCTGCTTGGCTGACATCATGAGAAGTGTTCTGAGCCAATCACAATGCTTTGCCATAGGAGGCATAGGATGGCTGAGACTGTAAGGAGGTATATCAGGGGCAGAGCCAGCATAAGCCAAATACAGCCCTGGCCAGTCAGCACTCTCCCCATAAAAATGCATGGAATCAATGCATCTATCTGAGGAGTGGCCAGTGAAGGGATCACTAGGCTGTAATGTAAACACAGCATTTTCTCTGCCTGGAAAAAAGGCAAAAAGCCCGGAGGGAAGGATTCTACTCACCAGAACAAATACAATGTAGTTGTTCTGGTGACTATAGTGTCCCTTTAATATCAATGCCGATTTTTTTTTTTTTTTTATTGATTTTGTTTATTATGTAGATTGATTTGAGAAAGTTGTATTTATCTGGCTGAGCAGAAATTTTGGGTCAGATTATTACGTTGTCAACCGTGACCAATTGCTGCAATTAGTTTAAAAAAAAAGGTTACATTTAAAAAAAAAATCATTAAAAAGGTAATTAACTTTAAACATTAAACGTTGATAAGTTTCCTTGTAAAGCCATGTCATATTGCACCATTTGGAGTAATTGTGCGGCCAGGAGGGAAGAAAAAAAAAAAAGAGTTATATAAGGGGGACATGCTATGGCATGTTATGTCGATCTGCCAACTAATGAAAGCAACGATACCCATTTCCTTTGCATTCAAAAAGGCCAACGGCATGAATAAAATGAAAAAAATAAATAAAATCCATTGTCAAAGAATTATTAAAAATTATTTAGATTGATAAATATGCCAGCAGAGGATAGAACATTTATCAGAAGCAGATTTTCCACAGCCAGTTATTTAATGTCACATCTTATGAAGAACACACATTATAAAACAGACGTAGTTTGCACAGTGACAGGCAGAATCGAGAGCGAAAGTCTACTATCGTAGTAAACAGTGCCAGATATTCATTCACAAGGCATTTTTTGCTTTTCCCTAAAGTACAGGTTTAAAAAAATAAAATAAACAAGCACATGGATTCTGATCATCAGGGACATTGACATAGCGTGACTAGCTTAGCAACAGAGACAAACTACCAGCCTAAAAGGGGGAGGGGGATGGGGGGAGACTTCTAATAGAATACAATTGAATTCTGTCATGTTACACATTTAAACATTATATTATTGTGCTGCGGTAGAGATAATTTCCAAAGTCTAATTACATGAGAGGTGTGTGGAAGGCAAGAGGATTACTACAAGGACCATGACCACTTCGGTAACTTGAAGTGGTCATGGTGCTTGGAGTCTGTATGTGCAGCTGCACATACAAAGTTTAACATCTCCGCTGCCGGAGGTTTAACGTCACCTCCAGCAGACTGATTGGCATGTTATCAGCCAGCCAGAAACAAGACTTCTAGACTGGCTAATATCAGTTCTGCGCAAGTTTGAAATCTATCGCCAATGTCAGCATTGCACCCCCCTCGCCTCCACTCCCCTGTGCCGCCCATGTCCTCCCTACTATGTTTCAGCATATCCGATGACAGCTTTGGAATTTCTGTAAAATTCCAGCAGTCAATATAATAAGTATTTCATAGAGATTCTATCTGAATGAAATAATCATTTTGCAGGGGTGGGGCATGACAGTGTCGCTTTAAGGGACAGATCGGTTTCAATGAATTGGATGGTACATAATGAGTAGAAGCTCTTGGATGATTGTGAAGGCCAAAAGCAAGAACCAGATATGGGAAAAACAATCTGATACACACAATTACTACATTTTTCCATTTTAACTAGAAATGGCATTTTAGTTCCTCAATTTAAAAGGACACGTCCAGTACCATAATTACTACAGTTTATACTAATGGCTACATTGCTATAAGGTTTTGGGTGCAGCCCTTATGTTCCCTCTACCATCTAAAAGGCTTTAAGCAGTGTGACAAAAAAAACAGAAACTGTAGATTTATTTGCTGGGTTTTAAACCACCCTTTTGTTGTCAAAGTTTCCACCAATTTTTGACATTTTTTGAGAACACTATACTGTTAAAGACTGTAGGAGGGCTATGAAATTGTCTGAACATTGCCAAGTAAGAAAGCAACACCTCTGGGTTAAGGGAACACTAAAAGCACCATTAACACTACAGCATAATTAAGTGGTTATGGTGTCGAGGTCACCCTGGTACCCCCCAATTCAAGTAGGCAAATTGTAGGAGGCAACGGTCACCCGAAGCACCCTCGGTAAGTTGTCAAACTGTCATGAAACAATTTACTCATTATATTAGGGAGACGGCAAAGTTATGGTGCTAGAAGCGTCAACTTACTAAACTTTCTATAGCACTACAGAACACCCAAGATATGTATAGGGCAAATCTATTTTAATATACCCCTACAAAAATAGTACAATATATGTGATGCACCAGAAGTCTGGGTGCTTAATTTCCCCTTTTAAAACAGATCAGAGGTGCTTTTCTAAAGACACTCCTTAGTGAGAGAATTGTAAAATATGATGACTGAGCATTAAATACATTTCTATTACCATCCCACATGATCAGTTCACAGGAAACCCTCAATAACACAATCTGAAAGAGAAAAATGGTTACATACAACCATATTTTGATGAAGAATTTTATTACGATACACACAAGACAATGTAAAGGGGCGACTGAAAGCAATCTTTTTAAATCATTCCCTCCGTGACAAGGTCTTTGGACAATCCCACAAGATCCTCGATAGCGTAACGAGCGCCAATGCACGTTAAGAGGACTCTTTCTCACAGACGTCGCTAGGGACAGCTGCGGCACTTTACAAAGATCAACGACAGAAGCTCCTGCCTTTTATCAACATGGACTTTGCCCGTAATTCAAAGCGGTGCCTACTTTGTTTTATAATATATCCGGATTGTGTTGGAATTTCAAATGAAATTGACATGGAAGTCAACATGAGTATTTCATAAACATATCTTTATGACAAGGCTTAACAAATTTGCTTGGAATCTAGGAGCCAGTTTGTTTTTTTCCCTTTTTAAATGAACAAAGCTTTATTTTCAACTGCAAAAATACTATTATTAAAGGGACACTATAGTAGTCAGCTTAATGTAGTTTGCCTACAGCCTGTCCCTGCAGGCTTTTCAACGTAAACACTGCCTTTTCAGCGAAAAGGCAGTGTTTACATTGCTGCCTTGTAACACCTCTTGTGACAGTCACATAGAGGTACTGAGCGTACCCCATAGAGATGCATTGATTCAATGTATCTCTGAGGAGATGCTGATTGGCGCTGAGCGCAAAAGCCTCTAATTATTTTTCTATGGGAAGCATTGGATTGGCAAAAATCATAAAGACTTGGTCATGAAGGCGACATTTTAGCCATGAAAGCGGGACAGCTATGGCATGACTGCCACAGCATAAAAAAAAAAAAAGACAAACGCTCTGTGCTAAACTTTGCAGTGCTTAAAGGACCATTATAGGCACCCAGACCACTTCAGCTTAATAAAGTGGTCTGGGTGCCAGGTCCATCTAGGATTAACCCTGCCTGCTGTAAACACAGCAGTTTCAGAGAATCTGCTATGTTTACATATGGGTTAATCCAGCCTCTAGTGGCTGTCTCATTGACAGCTGCTGGAGGCGCTTCCGTGCTTCTCACTATAAATTTTCACAGTGAGAACACGCCAGCGTCCATAGGAAAGCATTGAGAATTCTTTCCTATGAGACTGGCTGAATGCATGGTGGATCTTGCCGCGCATGCAGCCCATGACAGCAGAAGGAGGAGGAGATTCCCCAGCCCCGAGTGAGCCAGGCGCTGGAAAAAGGTAGGAATTTAACCCCTTACCCTAGAGCCCAGCAGGAGGGGGACCCAAGGACCCTATAGAGCCAGGGAAACGAGTATGTTTTCCTGGCACTATAGTGGTCCTTTAAGTCATTGGCTGACTGACTAGCTGATGCTCTCAGCCAGTAAGGTAACCTGTACTGTCTGACCATGAAAGAAAAACTGTTCTAAAACGGTTTGACACCTTGCATAGGGGCGGGGTGCTACTATGAATATAGGGTTGTCCTCCCCCCCCCACCCCCCCCCCATAATTAATATATTATACCCACACCCCATGTACCTGCTCATAGTATTACAGTCCATTAAACTGATTGCAACTCAAAGTACACAAATTCTATATACAAACAATGGCCACTACATGAGGCTACTCCAACAAAACAACCACAGATCACTCTTCATGGACTGCAACTCCCACTAAACCATGAAAACACTAAAATTGCCCTGTGCTAAATAAAATTCATCCATACAGGCAGTCCATGCCACAGGCACAGAAAAAACAGTTTTTTGCACTCTTGTTGTGCAAATTTTATGGGGTAGGCTAGTGGTATAGGGAGGGAGACGGTGGTAAAGGCAGATATAAACATGTGTGTGCACAATCATTTTAATACAATTACACATTAGGCAATCACCTCTCACCCTAGATACTTCCCTCCTATACCATGTAAAGTTCCAGCAAATACTTGCATCATTCTGACTCACATACGCTTCAAACTTTAGTAAACTCACGACATACAGACTTTGCTAAAACCAGCAGTTTCCAACAATGTACAACACAAAAATAACAAAAGAAGGGCTGCGCCAAGGGAATGGCAGTGTAGGAAATATAAATAAACAGAAAAGGCAAAATGGTATGAGAAGTCTCACTAAAACAGTGGGAGTAAAACCCTATTAAGGTGCTTTAAGGTGTAGAGTCCTCTATATTCTAAAAATGCTCTTGTAATGTCCCCATTTTTACCTCTCCTTCCTTAAACTTTTCAAGCCCACCCCGGGGGTACACTGATCTTACCAAGGCCTGATCCCTAGGTGTGCTGGAAAAACACATTGTGCAGGAGCAACCGGGAGACCCTGTGATCCCTGAATAGGTAAAAATAAAGAAAAGTTTGACCCTGGATCCTTTGAGAAGGAACATAAGCCACACAATGATATATTTGTCCAATCTAATATTCCCATAACAGTTCTTAAATATATATCTATTTTTGAAGGGTTATATTAATGCATTTTAAATAGGGTTTATGTTAGACTGAATAGCAATTGTTTTTTTATTTTTTTATTTTTTTAAGATCATGAGAAACATCATGAGATGCTGTGCTGGACATCTCATTCTAGTCCTTTAGTAACAATTTTTTTGAAACCCGAGTTCTTCTAAAGTGGTGATAACATTTTTATGTTGCAAGTTCAATAAAAGTCACTAGAAATAAAAAGAAAGAACTACTTTTTCATATGGAAAATTTCCGGGATGAACAAACGTGGAGATTCTGTCATTTCCAGGAGCCGCGGCTTGCAACACATGTGAGGAAAGGCACCTTCTCACACAATGAACAAAACGTTCTACGCTGGATCTCTCGGTATTGTTGCACGCCACAATGATTCCGTTTCAGTAAATATTGCAAAATAGGCAAAGACCCCACAAATGAGGAGGCCCCTTTAAAATTACAATATCAACAGAACATTCATGGAAAGTTAAAATAAATCCCAATTAAAATGTTCCTATTATGTGAGTCAGTGTGGAATTTAAAAAAAAAGTTTTGATGTGTTTGAAATACGGTGATGTTCAGACATTGACACAGATGTAGCCAATTACTGCATGACTCTCCCGTCAATTTCCAAGACCATGGTTGGGAGATGAAAACAGTTTCAGAGAGAGTATAGCATGCATTATTCAAAGCTGGGAACCTGTACCATTTCGAGCAGGCACAGCCTCTAAACCTGCAGGTGTATATATACCCACTAAGTCTTAATTCCTGGCAAGATAGACAAACCAACCCACCTTTCCTTTCGGTATAAAACAAAATCAATATCCAAGGTCAGACTTTGATACCAAGATCTGTTAAAGTGTCATCGTGAACACATTTATTATCTAATGATATTAAATGGTTGCAACATAATGTTTTGAAATTCAGCCTCATTAAAGATTGCACATAAATTAGAATATTACAGATCAATGCAGACAGAGCACAGATGAGACCAGTACAGAAATAGCACAGAGGAGGTCCCAGCCCAGCACCAACAGCTAGCCACCACCGAGGATCCAGCCATCCCAGAGGAAGGTAGGGATGCTGGGTGGACATCCTAGGTACGAAATGTGTATGCATGTAATTTTTGTGTATGTTTCGGCAGTGATTGTGTATATGTATGAATGAATATATGAGATTGTGTGTGTACATCTGTGATTATGTGTGTATGTCTGTGACTGTGTATAGGTCTGTGATTGTGTGTAACTATGCAATTGTATGTGTGTGTGTGTCTGTGATTATGTGTGTATGTCAGTGTGTTTATATATGTGATTATGTATGGGACAGTATATAGGTCTGTGATTGTATATTTATAGATCTATGACTGTATGTGCGTGTGTATGTGATTGCGTGTAGAGGTCTGTGATTGTGCGTGTGTATGTGATTGCGTGTACAGGTCTGTGATTGTGTCTGTGTGTATGTGTTTGCGTGTACAGGTCTGTGATTGTGTGTGTGTATGTGATTGCGTGTAAAGGTCTGTGACTGTGTATTTGTGATTGCGTATATAGGTCTGTGACTGTATGTATGTGTGTTTTGTGTGCATATGTATATACATGTGTATGTGTTTAGTAGATAACGGGGCAGCATCATCGTAGTGTTTAGAGCAGGCACGCATCGGGCCGGGAGATCGGCCACAGAACCCGCCAGGCCATGCTTCTACTCAGCAGAAAGACCAGCTGTGTAGTGCTCTGTGACCGCTGGACGCAACCCCGAACCGATCAAACATTGCAGGACGTCGTTGGGTCTCAAACTGTTTAAGGTAGGGTATAAAGAACCTCGGTGACTGGACTAAATCTGTGTATGCTGGAGGAGCTCGTATTTAAATAAAGCAAGTATTTAAATAAGAATAGTTTTTTTTTTTAAATAAAAATATATAAATGCTAATGCTGCAGGTAAACATTAACATTGAAATGTACAGCTTATGTATGCTGCAATGTCAGGTTGCAGTGGCACATGATGTGTTTCCTGCTGAAACACCATCACTTTATGAAACACTCACATCGACTGTGCTGGAGTTTCACTGAAATTCCAGCCCAGTCATAAGATATCAGACAAAGTAGGGACTATTGTGTCTTACGTATATTCCCTACACTTGACAATAAGGTGGAGCTACAGCAGTTTTGTTATTTCCCACAGCCTTCACAAGTGACAGCTCTAGGAAAAAAGTCTTTGTCTAGAGACTTGCACTATCTTGCGGGATTCGCATGCGCGAGAGTACAACACACATTGTGGGCTCCTAACAAATGAAGCTACTCCTGATGAAGGTGGCAGTGGCTGCCAAGGGACATGTTCAGGTAAGCAAAACTCACCTTTCCTGATCCGCCATCATGCTGTACTCTCGCGTGAGTACAATAGTGAAGTCTATGGAAGATGCCGCAAGACCACAGGATCCACCATACGTAGAGCTCATTTCCTTGCCATCATCACTTGTGATGGCTGAGGGATGTACACTTTTGGACGGCAGTAGTTCTACCTAGTAACAAGAGGTGTCAGGCATTGGAAAAATACTGAGAACAGTGCCTGCTTTAAGTTGTAGTAGACCAAAAAATAAATAAGCTGGCAGTGCGTAAAGAATGGTATGGGAGGATGGTAGGAAGTACTACTTTGACCTCTTCTTTTTGTAGTGGCAAGTAACTTTTAGGCCTGGCTAGTAACTTAACACTATAGTCCCAAATACAACGTTAGCTTAATAAAGCCGTTTTGGTGTATAGTCAACGTCCCTGAAGTTAAATCACTTTGTTAATGCAGACCTAGTCACACCTTCCTGCATGTGACTTCCACAGCCTTCCTTAACACTTCCTGTAGAGTCATCTAATGTTTACACTTCATTTATTACACACATATATGTTTGATTTAGAATTTATTATCTCTTCCTCTGCTAACAGCCTACTAGATGGTGCAGGATCCTCCTATGTGTGACAAATTCAATTTACAGAGCAGCAAATAAACTTCTGAAGTGAGTTATTTCTGATAAAAAATTAAACCATTTTTTCCATGCAGTCTGTACGAGTTGCAGCCAGGGGTGTGTGGCGAGTGCTGCATAAACAGAAACTGAAGTGATTTAGCTCCTAAATGGCAGAGAATTGAACACGGAGACAGCAGGGGCATGATCATTCTATACACTAACGAAGCTAACGTTGTTTTGATGCATATAGGTTCCATTTAAGAATTAATAGTGGTAAAAGAACACTATAGTTTCAGGAAAACAAACCTGTGTTCCTAACAGAATGTTAAAAATATTTAGGTCTCCAGACCCCCTTATATCTTGTTACATCCATGTTGGTATTGTTGCGGCTGGCCCAGCCTGGCTGAGATCATCAATCTTGATGATATAAGCCAATCCATTGCGGAGATCTCTATGGGGAGCATTCAGCACACTGTGCAGATAGGAAGCGCCTCTAGTGGCCAAAAAAAAATGACTGCCACCAAATGTGTTACTAGGCAGAGGCTGCCTTTTCTCTGAAAAAGGCATAATTTACTTTGCTGAGCCTGCAGCGACGTTACTATAACACGAGAACCACAACATTAAGCTGTAGTGGTGCTGGTGACTATAGTGTCCCTTTACACCCTTACACAAGATCAGAAGACAAAATGGATCCCCAAATACACTAGACAGTCTATTCTAAGACAAACATCTGCCAATCCTCTGCTACTTGGCATATACAAATAGCCTATATTAATGGCTTCTGCAAGGTTTTTCCAACATCCAATACTGCCAGCAAGGGAGACATACAACTGGGACAGGGTTATTCTCTCAAGTGAGAATTCAAAACTGAATTTCAAATTTAAGGTTAAAAATAGAGCTATGCTGTCAGTTCACTAGTGGGGCTACTCTGGCCTTAAAATGTAAAATTCACATTGAATTTTCACTTTAGTAGATAACCCTGCAGGGCTTTGCAACCGACATTGTTGTCAGTGAAAAGCATTTGTTTGTACTGAGCTGGGACAGGTCATTTAAAAATAACACATCAGCACGGCCAATTATAATACACAGGGGAAAGTCAAGTGCCCTCCATTACAGCAAAGTATGAATTACTCCCTGAATGAGGAACAAAAACCAAAAAAATCAGGGTTATTTACTAAACTGAGAATTCAAAGTTTATTTCAAATTTTAGGTAATTTTTTTCCAAACTGGAAAAATTCTATAACCAAACTATGCACTCAGTTCGGATACTCTGGCCTCAAATAAAAAATTTGAATTCTAACTTTAGTGGATAACCCAGTTTGCGTTCAAGAGCAACAGGTTAGGTTTTCTGAATGGAGAGGAACTCTTTAAGCTGTAAGGTCATGCTATTTTATTTTTTTCCAGTTCTTTTCCTTATGCCCCCCATGTCTTAATGATTTATATTCTCACAATATTATCTTTTTTATCATGCACCGTCATTTTGTTTTCCTCGGCACTTGGACTTCCAGTAGTAGTTTTTGACTGATGGAGTGAGGGTTGATTAGCCTACGGATTGAAATGTTACTTGCTTAAACAAAAAAAACAAAAAATTAAAAAAAATTTAAAACGGCGCTCCCTATAAGGAATATAGTCCCTATATATTTTAGAATGTACAGCCCAAATTTTTCTTTTTAAAAAGTCACAAACCAAGATGAGAAGGAGAAAAGGAAAAAAATTAAATTAAATTAAAAAAAAAAAAGGAAACATTTGCTAAGTGACAATGCTACTTTAAGCTTGAGAAATATTTTTAAACGAAGTAGATAAAATTAATGTAAACATCATCTATGTATTTAGGGTCAACAAGTTCTACATTTCCAACTAGTTGCATTACGTAATGAGAAGAACAATTTGTTTTAACCAATAGAAACCAAAAAAACAACAGCAGGATTTAAAAGGACTGCTTGCAGGTTGATGATCTAACACAGTATGATAAACTAGTTGAACAGGAGAGGTTGGTTAGACTGTAGATTTTAATAAAACGTTCGTTGAAGAACATGCGGGAAGTACACGGTTAAAAGGACACTGTAGGCACTGTCTGCTTTATCTCACTGAAGTGGTTATAGTGACCAGAGTACTCGGTCGCCATCCTTCCAGTCATCGTTAAACAGTTTTTAAAGGACCACTACAGTGCCAGGAAAAACTCATTTTCCTGGCACTGTGGTGCCCTGAGGGTGCCCCCACCCTCATGGCCCCCCTCCCGCCGGGCAGAAGTTGGAGGAAGGGGTTAAACACTTACCTTTCTCAAGCACCAGGCTCCCTCGGCGCTGGGGACTCTCAACCTCCTTTGGATGTCACCGACTGAATGCGCATGCGCAGTAAGAGCTGCGAGCGCATTCAGCCAGTCCATAGGAAAGCATTCTCAATGCTTTCCTATGGACGGCAGCATCTTCTTACTGAAAATCACAGTGAGAAGTGCGGAAGCGCCTCTAGCGGCTGTCAATGAGACAGCCACTAATGGCTGGATTAACCCATATGTAAACATTAGCACTTTCTCTGAAACTGCTATGTTTACAGCAGGCAGGGTTAATCCTAGATGGACCTGGCACCCAGACCACTTCATTGAGCTGAAATGGTCTGGGTGCCTATAGTGGTCCTTTAATTCTAAGCAAGAGTCCCCAGCAGCCCATCCTCCCTGTGCTGTTTGGGCTAATAAAGGTCTATTAGCCTGAGCAAAATTGGTCGGCTGTGATTGGCTGGTGGTTTTAGCGGACCGCTGGTATGACTAGAAGAAGTCAGACATACCTCCAGGGTGGCTTAATTAGCATTAAACAGCTCGAAAATGGTTTTACCACTGAATGGAGGGACAGTACTGGGGACTCCAGACATTATAACCAATTTAATGAGATGAAGTGGTTATAGTGCCTTTAGTGTCCATTTGATGTAGCATTAGAAGGGAGAAAAGCATAACTATTTTTAACAGGACGCAAATAAAAGGGTTTGCATAGAAGAAGCAGCAATAATGAAACAAAAACTAGCAGTGATGATTTTTCATAAAATTATTTTATTTGAGTTGTGTGTCAAAAAGGCATAAAGAGAAGATGGGAGAAGTCAAGACAGGAGGCTAAGAGAGAGTCACGATGTGCGATACCTTGATCGACTTGAAACGAGGGCAATACTTTTGGGGTAAAACATTAAACGAGGTTAAAGACTGAATAACAGCGATACAAGAGGACTTCAATGACTTATAACCTTTAATAAGCCACACTGACATCACAGCTACCGTTGGGGAAAATAACACGTTCGATGGATTAACGCACACATTCATTCACTTTTCCCGTGATTTACTATTTCTGCATGTTGTCACGGTTTCACCAGCAACAATTCCTTTGTGGACTCTGAGGACTCACTGTGAGTGCTCGGTCATATGGAATACGAAATAATACACGCAAGTTAAAGGGCCACTCCACTCTTCTACCCACCCCCCAAAAACCCTTACAGGTTAGTAGATGTAGGTTTTTCTGTGCAAACATTAGTATATGATGGCTAAATTCAAAATTACAGCCTTCCCATAAAAGGTTTAGATAAATTGTTTTATTGTGAATTGGCTAGAAGGAGGAGGGGGAATTTATTTATTTTATTTTTTTTTTAATTCCCTAACAAAATTACTCTTGTCAAACATGAAATGCAATTCTCAAAACCTGTTAAGAAAATTCAGTTTTAAACCATGATTACCCAAGCTGAGCAGGTATATCCAACAATGAAATGCAGAGCCAACTCTGAGCCAAGCAGCTCTTAATCTGCATAGATATTAGATGAGGTGTTTATACATCACACACTGCGAAGCCTATGTACTAAGCTAAATATACACATGCACACAGTACTGCAGCTTGTCAGCAGCAAGGGAAATGGTACGCCTTACATTTCAAAACACGATCCCTCTATTCTTTTGGAGAGAGAGAAAAAAAAAATTACATGCATCGCAACTGAAAACGGTCTTCTGAGCAAGCTATTCAGGATCAAATGCTGCAAGTGCTGCCTGGTGGGGGCAACCCAGTCTGTCTGAGGATTAAAGCACAGCTCAGACAGAACAATGACTAGGTTTTAACCCTGCTCTGTGCAGAGTAAAAAAAATTAGCTAGAAAGAGACAATGCTCAGAGCCTGGCCTTCCCACTGCAGAGAAACCAATGACACAACCAGGAAGTGAGGAGATCAGAGTCTGCCCCTTCTCTACTGGGTGACAGATCAAAGGAAGACAAAAGGACATTTTTAAGTTTGAAGCCTAGTCAACCTAGACTGAAGGGGGATGGTAGGAGGAATAGTGAAGAACAGGACAGGTGTTTAATTTTGTTGAAGTTTTAAGTTGCAAAATACTCCAGTTATCCTCAAAAGAAAGGAGTGTGTTTGCGACTGGCTAAGCGTCATGGGGGTTGCATGGCAGGAGAGCTATCAGTGACTTCCGTAATCCGTTAAAATGGAACCTTTTAGACAAGCCTGCACGCTAATGTGATTTAAGCCACTGAAAACCAACAAATTGCTTTCCAGCTGTGAATTCCTACGATGGTCGGCCATCCTTATCATTAAGGATGAGAGCAGAGCACCATGGGACATGTAGTTCTATTTTAGCTGGAAAGCTGCCTATTGATTACTCCACTTGCTGATTACCCCAGATCTACACGATTAAACTTGCAAGCCTGATTGCCTGGAAATATTGGGCAGGTACCTTTTCTTGTAAGTCCAAAGGCTTTAACCATGTACATCTCATGCCCAGAAAAGTAAATTAAAGGGACAGGGATAATTTTAAAGATGTTAAATTGGTCCCAGTGTCCACTGCCAACTGATATCTATAGAAAGGCAAGAAGCATATGGTTAAAAAACGCCTTTCTTGCCCTTTTCATGTGCGAAGAGAATGCAGCAAGCAGTGAGTGAGCTGACAAACAGGAAATAAATGTATCTATATAAAGAGCGAGGGTTATTGCAGAATAACTACCAGACTTAGGACTTTCACTTTTGGGAGAAGTCTGCATAAGCAAATAGGCCATTGGCTCCAAAAACACAGCCTACATGCTGGGAAAAGAGGGGGAAAAAAGATAGAAGGGGAAAAAAAATTGCTCTGGAAAATCAGGAACTTTTGGAGTAAAGATGAAACTACTGAAAGCAAACACTCAAAACAGACCTTTACAAGCCAGCATCTTTATTTAGATTCATTACGTAGAAAACGGTTAGTGCTGAGTCACTTCCAAGTAATAACCAAATTGAAAGGAATCTATTCAACCACTCTGATTGTTAAATTAAATTTGTTCAATTATAAAAGAAAGTAGAGGGAGAGAAAAAAAAAAATGAATTACCAGATAAGATCTTGATTACTGTTGCAATGAGCCATTTGAATGGGACAATGTTGGAGTCCCAAGCCACTGGCACGTATAAAGTACCACTGGATACATGCTGTATGTTTTCCATGATCATATTTTCTTTTTCACGCTTACACACCCTGTTCTTTTGACTGCAGGGTTCAGCCACAGAGTCACTAACACGGAGAGAATCCGGATTAGTTCCTCATAAATGTTGCAATAAATCTAAGCAAAGCCATGGTTTACTTTAACTGTACTTTCGAAAGCGTGGTTATACACTGCCGTTAAACAAAGATTTCACAATTTAGAATAAATCTTTATCCTTTAAGTGTCCTGAGTGAGCGACCAGAAGCATTTTTATTCTGGAGAGCAAAAAAAAAAAAAAAGCAAAAGATCCGCAAGTTAGGACTGTGCTCGTCAACCTGTGAAATGAACAATAAACTCAGCATATATGTGTCCCCGATGAAAATTGCTAATGTATGCAGGACAAATCAAAGGATTAATTCATGACAGAGTCCCGCCCAAAGGGTGGAACAAAGGCAAGTGTCATCGGGTTGCACATCACTGAAGGCTTTCCTTCCAGACACACAACTATCAGAAACCGCCATCTTCAATCAACTGTGCAGAGTGAAACAGGACGTAAGAGTTTCCTGACCGAGGGGGACAGTAACAGAAAGGAAATTTAGAGAGCATTCTCTCCCCTGATGGATTGGTAACAGTACGGTTAATTTGCCTCCTTCACTAGTCCGGTGACATTTAGCATGTACCCCCTTCACCAGCAAGGAGACTTTAAAATAATAAAAAAAAAAAAAATAAATTAGATTAGCTTGCACTTGCTTCCCCATTAGTGCAGAAAAGACATTTAGTCTGCACCCCTTTCCCTAGCAGGGGTGAACATGAAAGAACGGGAATTTAGCTTGCACCCCCCTAGTGTAGCAAGGTGACAGACAGGACATGTAACATGCACCCTTCTAGATGGTCGACACAATCAAAGAGCCTCCAAGGATGAACAAACGCTGCAGATCTTATCTGCAGAAACCTCATGCGCTGTCGCATGGGGGGTGGAGGGGGGAGAGGGAAATAAGTAGGTCGCTGGGAGCCATGAACTGGATGGGAAACAGATGGAGACTTGCGTTAAAAAAAAAAAAAAAATTTTTAAATAAAGCAAACACATTATGGAATCAACCATATATCCAACATGCATTCAGTGGTTCTGCACCATCAAACAAGCATCATGCACGTCAATATTATGAACGCTACACTGCGATCACTGATCATGACTGTGTACAGAATAAATAAAAGGCAGATTTCCTCTATCAAGCCTTCCCAGAGCAGTGAAACCGTCGCCGCTGTCTATTCTTCTTTTTCACAAGCTCAAGTGCTTACAACCTACACATACAAAAACAGCCAAATCCGCGGTTTCAGTCGCCTTCCGAGAAACCTCTATAAACCCTTCTCATTACCGACAAGATCTGCATTAAAATCCAAAATAAGCCGCCTCCTGGAGTTTTGCTTTGTCCTACTAACAACTCTCTAGCAACGGCTCACTTAACTTAACAAAGGGTTAAAATCTGCAGACGTCTGCTCAAGTCTATCCTTAAACTACCCCAGGTGAATGAGTCTGGGTCAAGGTCTCCCACTGCAGCAGTGAAGGAGTTAACACAGCCCATACACAGGAATTCTTGGAATGTCAGGAGTTCCTAGACTCCCATTGGTCCACAGAGGCCAGCGATTACCATGGTTGCTACACCCGCCTCCTAAGGATTCTGGAAACGTGTGTGGAGCTATTGTAAGGGGCTAGAGCACTGCACTGCTAATTCCCACAATGCATAGGGAGACTCTCTGTACACCACATATGCCACAATGGAAAATGTATACATGATCTAACCAAACGAGCAGGGAATAAATTAATAAATCACACACACACCCATAAATGTACATGGAGTAAATAAGGGCAAAATAATAGTTACTAAAAATTTTAAAATAAATAAATCCACCAGATTTGTACCAGGTGATGATCATCGTAAATTAGAACACTGGGATTGAAGGAGGATACATGGGCTGTGTAGGAAGAGCAATTCAAGGTCAAAGTTCCAAAAGCAGAGCAGTCTCCATGGAAACCAATAGAATGTTCTTGCAGAATGCTCCACTTTTGGAACCCAAACAGAATCCCAGCAAAGAAAAAAAGATATTGCCAATTTAAATGTTAAAGGCCACAAATACAAAAGAAACAACCCACAAGACTGTGTTAATTTCTGGATAATAAATTTGTCTTATACTGTAGTCCCTTAAAATTATTCAATTGCTGGGATAATTACAAAATAGTTATTAGCACAAACAAAAAAACCAAAAGATAAAGTTCCACTTCAAATATAAGGATTCAAACCTTCTCTCTGAGCGTTGCATAGACTATTAGAATACAAAAAAAAAAAAAGAAAAAAAAAGGACAATATGTAATTAAAGTTTTAATTAATCACTTTCAATACAAAGATTTTAGGAGACACAATTAGTACATCAAACAGGCATTATTTGAACCACAATAACTCTTCAGTGTCATTTGGTCAAACCATTTGGGAACAGTATGACAAATTGTAATGCTAACCAAGAGACTCCTCACTTCGTCAGCAATACGGATACTGAATTGCCCACTCCTGTATTATCAGGGTCAATTTTATTTGATTAGATGGTAGTGAGAGCTAGACTAACTTGTCTTGTGTGCTCAGTCAGATATTGCCATCCAAGATTGAGAAAACGGACCCCCAATAACGAGAGTGAAAATTAAACCTTAACGCAGCTGAGGTGGGAGCAGTCTCAGTTTTTGCGGGACGGACACATACCTTACAAATCCCTGTTTTGCCTCCACAGCTCCATTTAAAGGTTACCATTGAAGGGAACAATGAGCGTTTGCATTAAAGGACCACTATAGTCACCCAGACTACTTCAGCTCAATGAAGTGGTCTGGGTGCCACGTCCCTCAGGTTTTAACCCTGCAGCTGTAAACATAGCGGTTTCATAGAAACTGATATGTTTACATTGCAGGGTTAATACAACTTCTAGTGGCTGTCTTCCTGACAACCGCTAGAGGTGCTTCCCCGACACTCAATGTGAAAAGCGCATTAAACACGCAGAACTTCCATAGGAAAGCATTGAGAAATGCTTTCCTATGGGCATTTTTAATGCGCGCGGCTCTGGCCGCGCATGCGTATCTGACTCCACTCGGGAGCAAACGTCGGCAGAGGGAGGAGAGTTCCCCAGCACAGAGGGAGCACGGCACTGGATCAAGGTAAGTGGCTGAAGGGGTTTTAACCCCTTCAGCCCAGCAGGAGGGGGGACCTAAGGATCATATAGTGTCAGGGAAACTATTTTGTTTTCCGGACACTATAGTGGTCCTTTAAAATATTAAAGCTATGTTCCTCGATAGCTCTGTCAAAAGAGGTTCTGGTGTTGGGACCGAGGTAAGTTGCCAAACCATTATTAAACCAGGGCTTGACAAATTTGCTTTGAATCAAGGAGCCAGGATTTTTGTAATCTTACAAAGTTTTATTTTTAACGACAAAAATTCAATTCTTAAAAAGGACACTCTAGTCAACAGGACCATTACAGATCAATGTTGTGGTTCTGGTGTCTATAGCATGTCACTGCAGGCTTGTTAATGTAAAAATACTGCATTTTCAGAGAAAGGTCAGTGTTTATGGTGCTGCCTAGTGCACCTAGTGCATTTAGCGGCAGTCACTAAGTTACTTCCTATATCAGTGCTGCACAGTGTGCAACACCACCTACATTCAGCATCTCCATACTCTGCACCGAGACACAGACAAACAGCTCTGCTCCCTAGCATGCCGCTTAGTAATGCCAGGTCTGGAGTGATCTCATATTCTTAGCTCTTTAATGTGGTCGCCGAAGGAGATTTGGAGGCGGCCGTGCGCATGGGAGCAGTACTCTTTCTACAGATATGCTCTGCTCCCTCGTGCTGTTTAATGATGCCGTCACTCCGGGTCCAGGTCCGGCATCATTATAGAAACCGAGCAGTGAGAAGAGCTGGACCCCAGGGAAAGACCCACTCAGCTCTCCTAAAGGTAGGGAGGCTGAGTGGGTTTCAATTAATACAAAAATGTGAATGTGAGCCTGTCACAGAGTGAGCGTGTTTACATGCACATTTAGGTACCTGCCCCCTCCGATCGCATGAGGAAGGTGGTTTTTCCCCCTACGCCGTGCTACTTTCGCCACGGCTGATACCACCTCAATGGCTGAGATTATCCATCTTTATGATCTCAGCTTAGCCAATGGAAAGCATTGGGAGGATTTTGTACATGTGCAGCAAATGTGCCAAACTTCATCTCCTCATAGAGAGATGCATTGAATTAATGAATCTCTATGAGGGACATTCAGCGCCTTCATGCAGAGCCTGGAGACCCTGAACGTCGGTGCAGCAGTGACCCAGGACTCTAGTGGCCACCTGAGTGACTGTCACTAGAGGTGTTACTAAGCAGAAATATAAACACTGACTTTTTGCTGAAAAGGCGGTGTTTACACTGAGAAGCCTGCATGGTATATAGTCACCAGAACAACTACATCAAGCTGCTGTGGTTCTGGGGACTATAGTGTTCCTTTAAGAATTGCTTTTTTCTCGTTGAAAATGACTGTCTTCTAACTTTTTTAGCTAGCTCCTAGATTCCAAACAAATTTGCAAAGCCCTGCTCTGGATAACCTCCTTCTATAGAGAAAAACTAAGTAGACCACAAATCTTTGCTAAGCAGATGTTTATAGACTATGTCAAAGGGTTACTCTAACCACCATCATCAGTTTAGGGATTTGAAGTGGTCATGGTGGTAGGGAGTCTGTATATGTAGTGTTGTTTTGCTTGAAGCACTCTAGGTGCAAGTTGCCAACGTGACTAAGACAATCCAGAACTCTGTTGCTGACAGTCTAATGTGAATTCTGTGCAAAACTTACATCTGTCGCCCATTGCATTGTGCTCTGACAGAGGTAATGAGCTTCTCCCTTGCAGACAGCGTGCCTGGACGCTTCTAAGAGAAGCATTTTTGATTGGACCTCCCGTGGAAAGGGATGAAGTCAGACGGATGAGTGGAGATTAGCACAGGTACAAACTAACCCAACAGCAGGAAGTTTTCTTATTTTGTATAACGAGTACTTTAACGCATTGAGTGATGGGTGGTTAACTTCAGAATGAATAGTCACTTTAAATTTGAAAGATTATTGAGGAGGGCCTAGAACAGGGCAATCCAACCTGCCGCCCCCCAGATGTTGCTGAACTACAACTCCCATGATTCCCTGGCTGTTTCATTGAAAGAATCATGGGAGTTGTAGTTCAGCAGCATTTGGAGGGTCGCAGGTTGGACAGGCCTGGCCTAGAACAACTCTGAAAAGGAAACAGTTTTATCATAGTAATTCTTTCTGGTAGACTCAATATGTATGAGAAGAGAGATAAAGTATCACAACTTTCAGCTGCAGGTACCCTCTTCCCCACATCATATCATAGAAATGCATACAACAGTACAAATGAACCTTCAGAGATTTACAAGAGACCAAAAAGCAAAGCAGCCTGCATCTTGGAAGCTGTAATAAAACTGTTGGCCAATCTACCTTTTGACCACTCCAATCAGGGCCCGGGTGTTCAAGACAGTCATCATCTGAACAGTTTATCATCAAAATGGAAACTCTTAAACCCAATTTAAGATCGGAAGGCCATGTTAACCAGAAATACAACCCCAAACTTGTAAGGCATAAGAGCTAGCTGATAAGAGTGCTTGGTGCGTGAAATGTGTTCAGCCATCCAGTCCCAATTCTGCAAATGCAAGTGGTGTATTCTGTTGTGTGACTGGAGTTCTAATAAAAGAGGAATGTGAAGAATTCTGTGATTTTTTAAAACATTTTTTATTTGGCTCAACCAAATGGGATTTACTTACAGCAGTTATCTGGTGGCAAACTGAACTTGATAGAGCAAGCAAACAGCTGGAGTGCCAAAGCTTAGTCACCATTGGGCTACAAAAATTGACCGTATGCACTTCATAAGAATATGTTAGCAAGTTATTTAGAATACTTTTTACATTTTAAAGTTACATAATCTGCAGCCATAAGACAGGCCAGGGGGAGAATGCAGCCTTGCAATGTGCCCTCATATAGCACACGGTTCTGCCACTGTGCACTCTTCAGATCATTCCACCAGCAAACACTTGCACAATTGGCCCCAATGAATTCCAACCTGCAAGCACTAAGTGCACAAATAACTTTAGAATAAAACTTGATTTTGTTCCACCCAACTGGCTGCTATTTAAATGTCAGATACCAAAAAAAAACAGTGCTACACACGCCCAAGGCTAGATGGAACACAAAGAAACAAGAGAAGGTCAACACTTCCCCACAGGTTACACACCTGCACAACAAAGTCCAAACAGGTCTTGAACAGGACCACCCTCGCCTACTATACAACATTACAGAGAAAGTAGAGGATAAGAAAGTGAAAAGTAAACACTTACAGTGGCACATGGCTTTGCTGAGTGTCTGCCTGAGTCAGCTCTTCTTCCTCCACGTCAGAGTCTCCACCAGAGCTGCTCTCTGTAGCATCAGAATCGAAGCCAGCCTCACACGACCGCAGTGCAGCAGTGCCCGAATGGCTTAATCGCTCTAGTTCCCGAGCTGAGCCTTTCAGGAATGCATTTGCATTGCCGCTTCCAGTATCTCCTCTGCGTTGAGCCTCTGCTTTTCGGGTTATTACAGTCAATCGAGAACGTGAAGTTTCAGGGCTTTGGCCAAGCGCAGCCCCAACCAAGCCCCCAAGCTGTTGGTGCAGGTGCCGTTCCACTTGCTTTGCCTGAACCAATCGTAGTCGTTTCTGAAGCCAACTAGCCCGCTCTTCCATCTCTCCATGACGCCGCAGAAGGTTCTGCAGACGTGTCTCTGAGCACAGATCCCTTTGAGAGCCCTTCTCATGCACAGAGGCAGGTGGGCTTGAAGGAACAGTTGGGTCCTTGACCATAGGTTCCAAAGTTGGGATGGTAAGGTTAGGGGGCTTCTCCACTGCAGGCTTCATAGCTTTTTTTGCTAATCCATTCAATGGTCCTCCCTGGCCCCCTCTCCCAGAGCTTGTAATGCCTCTCAAATCTTCCAGGTTGAACTCCAAGATGGAAGGCCGCCCCCGGCAAAGTGACTGAGACAAGATGGAGCACTGGTTGAATACTCCAGCCAGTTTGAGGGGCTCCTTCCTGGAGGTTCCACCGTAGCTTGCAACCAAGCTCGGGGAGGAAGGTGTAGGCAGGGAGCCACCGTTGGTCTCACCAAGGGGAAGGGAAGATGATGGGGGCGCCAGCTTGAAGTGCAAGTTGTGAGCGTCAGGAGCAGGGTCAGTGAGAGCAGGAGCCATCGCAGCCATTCAGCACAGGAAAGAGGGTGGGAGAGGGGAAGGGGCTTCTTCCCCAAAGGGGGAAGCCGAGGTAGGCCACGCTGTCCTCTGGCAGTTCCAAGGAGGGTCACCTGTAGAAAAAAAAAAAAAATAATAAAATAGGTCGTAATAGCAAGTAAGAGGCAACATTTGTTGAGAAACATTATCGTGAATGCAATTTTGAAATATTTTGATTGCTTCCCCAGGTACAAAACACCAAATATTTAATACACACAAACACAAGTGTGCAAATGGATAGTTAACATGTAATAATAATTGGGACTAGTGGAGCACAGTTTTGAATGATGGTTACAAAATTATTGCACAGAAAGAAAACACTCCTCTAGGCAGAGGGCTGAACCCATTTCTATGAAATACGAGTGCACATACATATATCCTGTTTTGCCGTGTGTACCGACAAGAAAAAACAAAAACACGAACATGAATAATCAAAAATGTTGCATTTCACACATTAAATTTGAAGAAACAAACAACAAGCTGCCACTATAAATTCTGTCTGAAAACAAGATGGCTGTTTCTCTAATTACATTTTTGGTCATAGGGGTCAGAAGACAACAGGAGAATGAAATCTCAAATCTGTTTCTATGTGTGCTATAAAACACAAAGTTTACTTGCAAGTACCAGAATTTCACAGAATTATGATATAGGGGGGATAAAAATATTGAAAATAAGGAAATTAAGTTATTTTAGGGCGCAATTTCCTTTGGATAATCTGTGCAACCATCAGCCAAAGAATCTAAAAAGCAAGGGTAGGTCACAATTTTTTATTTTAACCAAATTGCCATTTGCGTCTAAAATATTAGAAGAACTTAAAAAAATAAATAAAATTAAATTAAAAAAAAAGACAAGAAAGTGAAAAGACCCATTGCAGAATAGAGACAATTTTAGAGAAGGTTTAAGTTTTGTTTTGCGTAGACTGTGGTTTAACTTCTAATCAAAAGAAAAAAAAAAAAGTGTATCCTAATGGTGATACAAGCACGACATATTAAACAGACAGCACTATTCTTGCCAATAATTTGCGCAAAGACAGACACTGGACCCCCCTCCCCTTTCTGTGCTGCTAAAATAAAAATCACAGTGCCACTGTAAGAATGAACACCACACCCCCTCTCCCTTTCACACCCCATTACACCATGAAATATTCCCAGTATAGGGAAAGTGTAAGGAGACCGGGAGCTGTAAAGAATGTGTAAACGAGGGAGGGAGAGAATAAAATAAATCAGTAAATGTGGGGAGAAGAGCAGGAACTCCAGAAGATTTAGGCAGAAAAATTATGGAACCACAGAGGAGCAGCCTCTACATCTAAAAATAAAATCATTAAATAAATTTAAAAATGTTAACAAAAATTAATGGAAAAAAAAAAATAGATCAGTGTGGGTAGGAGAAGGAATTTCTCAAGTTACATAGGAGTAAAAAGGGTATGGGTTGAGAATGAGAAAAGGTCAGAGTATACTTCTGTTTTGTACACAAACATCGGCAGAATGTACGGTTCCGAAAGGTAGACACCTGTGTATTCTATTAGAATGGGTAGAGAAAGCAAAACAAGCCAACTGGATACACACAAAAAACACGGAGCAGGAAATGCACAGAAATTCATGGGGATAAATCACGAGAATGGGTAGGGCATGAGTGCATGACTGCTAGCCAAGGCAAAAAAAAACAACAAAAAAAAAAAACAGGGTGGGGGTGACTAGCCAAAAGCGGGAAGGGGGTGACAAAGGGGGAAACCGGGAAGGGGGTGACAAAGAGGGAAACCGGGAAGGGGGTGACAAGCCAAAGGGGAAAACGGGAAGGGGGTGGTTAAACGACGGCTAGCCAAGAAAAATATGGGGAGGGGAGTGGGTGAACATTAGGCTATCCAAGGCAAAAAACGGGAGAGGTGTGTGAATGTAGGCCAACCAAGATGAAAAAATCTGGTAGGAGACGTACGAACGACATCTAACCAAGCTGAATATAGAGAGACAAAAAGGCCTCAATCGTCATGGATAAAAAGGAAAAATGGCCTTTATTTAAATTTCACGTCATAACTAGTACATGCAAGGATGGAGCATGAGAAATGCTGATGCGTTTCGCGCCTTTACCGAAGAGAATTTTGGAGAAAGTTGATTCAGAAAAAAAGAAAAAAATGTATAGAAGACATAAGCGTAAAGAACTGTATTTTAATTCAATTACTACCATATTTCTGTTATTTTTTTAAGGATCATAGCATAAATATTTGATTTGCTCAATAGTTTACTTTTTCATTTTTATATCAAATAGATGTTACTTTTTTGTTTTGTTTTTTTACTACTAGAAATAATACCGAAATGTTATGATTATATTTTATTTACTTCTATTCCCCCCCCCCCCTTTTTTTCCAGTTATTGAAAATGGAGAGGGGACAGGCCAACGGTAGCTAAATAAAGCAAAAACTGGGAATGGATAAGCAAATTACATTTAACCAAAGCGAAAAACTGTTAAGAAAAGGGCACATAACAGCGAAACAAGACGAAAATGGGGAGGGGACAGAAAAACGACTGCTAACCAAGTGACGAAACGATAGAGACCAACCAAGGCAAAAAGAAAAAAAAGGAATGGACTGTCATGCAAAAATTGAAATTTTTATTTTTTTAAACAGAAAAATAAATAAAAATGCTAACAGATTATGATAGCACATGGGACGGAAGCACTAACAGCAGAATAAGGGTATAAAGGGAGTGGTTCAAAGAGAGGCAAAGGCAGACTATGCATATATTGTGTCTACACAATCATGGTCAGAACTACTGGTTAAAGAGACACTGTAGGCACTGTAACCACTTCATCTCAATTAAGTGGTTATAGCGTCTGGAATCCCCATGTGACGTCCTGCTGGTCAGCATTAAGCTATTTTTAAAAGCAAAACTCCAGGCACCATAACAACTTATGGCTCTCAGTAACCAGAAAGCTAATGTAGAATCTGGCAGCGTCACCGCTGACTGGCTGAGAGCAGTCATCTGACACTTTCAGCCAATCAGTGAATCCCCATTAATTAAACTTGCTTGAAAAGAAACATAACCTTTTCAAGCCAGCTTTGAGCTGCCCGACTCTGCAAGAGCCTTCCAGTTTCCAGATTTTAAGAAAACAGGACAGAGATTAAAGGAGATTCGGCACTGGAAAACAAACTTTGGGGTTAAATTGTTTGAGAACAGTTTAAACCCTTAATGTGAGCATGCACCGGGTACCTCCTCGCATCATAACTTCTTTTGATGATATTGTTATGGTGCCCAAACTGTTCTTGCAATGCTAAACGAGGGTCCCCCTCTGTGCTGCTGAAGAGCAAGCATTAGCCTTAGCAGCAACGGGCAGCTATGTTTGACAAAGAGAGTCAACTGACCTTTCAGCCTATCACAGTGCCCATTTCTGGTATGAATTGGTACGGCAAGAAGGTTTTGTGTAATTTCAGCCTTAACCATACCTGCACGGAAGGCCAGGCTGTGGGTGGCCAAGGACCCTTGTTTAGTGATAAACAGTTCAAAATGGTTTAACACTGCCAGGGGACTCTGGACAACGATAACCAATTCAGTTTCCCTTTAAACATTGTAGCATCAACCTGTGTCTTTACAAATTGCAATGGAAACAAACAGAGAATAGAAATAGGCAATAATTTACAAAGAAAATGGAGTGGTAAAGAATTTTAGAAAATTCTCCTAGCACCATTTGAGAGGTGAGGAGAGGAATGGGGAGGGGAGATGGAATGCCCCCCAAACCACTACAAGGGATGGGGTGTGGAATGCCCCCCCAACCCCTACAAGGGAAAGCCCCCAACCCCTACAAGCAATAGGGATGGGGTGTGGAAAGCCCCCAACCCCTACAAGCAATAGGGATGGGGTGTGGAAAGCCCCCAACCCCTACAAGCAATGGGGTGTGGAAAGCCCCCAACCCCTACAAGCAATGGGGTGTGGAAAGCCCCCAACCCCTACAAGGAATAGGGATGGGGTGTGGAAAGCCCCCAACCCCTACAAGGAATGGGGTGTGGAAAGCCCCCAACCCCTACAAGGAATGGGGTGTGGAAAGCCCCCAGCCCTGGCAATGGGGTGTGAAGCCACAACCCTACAAGCAATGGGGTGTGGAAAGCCCCCAACCCCTACAAGCAATGGGGTGTGGAAAGCCCCCAACCCCTACAAGCAATGGGGTGTGGAAAGCCCCCAACCACTACAAGCAATGGGGTGTGGAAAGCCCCCAACCACTACAAGCAATGGGGTGTGGAAAGCCCCCAACCACTACAAGCAATGAGGAGATTGGCAGAAGCCCCCCAACCACACAGCAATGGGGTGTGGAGAGAAGCCACCAACCACACACTACAAGCAATGGGGTGTGGAGAAGCCACCAACCACAAGCAATGGGGTGTGAAGCCCCCAACCTGCACAAGCAATGTGGGGTGTGGAAAGCCCATAGAACCACAAGCAATGGGGTGTGGAAAGCCCCCAACCACTACAAGGAATGGGGTGTGGAAAGCCCCCAACCACTACAAGGAATGGGGTGTGGAAAGCCCCCAACCCCTACAAGCAATGGGGTGTGGAAAGCCCCCAACCCCTACAAGCAATGGGGTGTGGAAAGCCCCCAACCCCTACAAGCAATGGGGTGTGGAAAGCCCCCAACCACTACAAGCAATGGGGTGTGGAAAGCCCCCAACCACTACAAGCAATGGGGTGTGGAAAGCCCCCAACCACTACAAGGAATGGGGATGGGATGTGGAAAGCCCCCAACCACTACAAGGAATGGGGATGGGATGTGGAAAGCCCCCAACCACTACAAGGAATGGGGATGGGGTGTGGAAAGCCCCCAACCACTACAAGGAATGGGGTGTGGAAAGCCCCCAACCACACTACAAGCAATAGGGTGTGGAGAAAGCCCCAACCACTACAAGGAATGGGGATGGGATGTGAAGCTTCCCAACCACTACAAGCAATGGGGTGTAGAAAGCCCCCAACCACTACAAGCAATGGGGTGTGGAAAGCCCCCAACCACTACAAGCAATGGGGTGTGGAAAGCCCCCAACCACTACAAGCAATGGGGTGTGGAAAGCCACCAACCACTACAAGCAATGGGGTGTGGAAAGCCACCAACCACTACAAGCAATGGGGTGTGGAAAGCCACCAACCACTACAAGCAATGGGGTGTGGAAAGCCACCAACCACTACAAGCAATGGGGTGTGGAAAGCCACCAACCACTACAAGCAATGGGGTGTGGAAAGCCACCAACCACTACAAGCAATGGGGTGTGAAGCCCCCAACCACTACAAACAATGGGGTGTGAGAGAGAGAAGCCCCCCCAGCCACACACACAAGGAATGAGGATGGGATTAGCCTTGGAAAGCCCCAGCCACTACAAGGAATGGGGATGCAGGATGTGAGCCCACCCCAACCACTACAGGAATGGGGATGGGGTGTGGAAGGCACAACACTACAAGAGATGGGGTGTGACCCCCAGCCACTACAAAGAATGAGATTGGAAAGCCCCCACAGCACTACAAAGGGAATGGGGTGTGTGAAGCTAGCCACTACAAGGAATGGGGTGTGGAAAGCCCCAACCACTACAAGGAATGGGGTGGCCAGAAGCACAACCCACTACACAAGGGAATGGGTGTGGAAAGCCCCAGCCAACCCACTACGAGAGGAATGGGGTGTAGGCAACCCACTACAAAAGGGAGTAGGGGTGTAGGCACAGCCCACACTACAAGGAATAGGTGTGAGAAGCCCCCAACCCACTACAAGGAATGGGGTGTGGAACGCCCCCAACCCACTACAAGGAATGGGGTGTGGAAAGCCCCCAACCCACTACAAGGAATGGGGTGTGGAAAGCCCCCAACCCACTACAAGGAATGGGGTGTGGAAAGCCCCCAACCCACTACAAGGAATGGGGTGTGGAAAGCCCCCAACCCACTACAAGGAATGGGGTGTGGAAAGCCCCCAACCCACTGAGAGATGGGGTGTGGAAAGCCCCCCAATGCACTACAAGGAATGGGGTGGCCAGGAAGAGCCCCAGCCACCTACAGAGGTGGGTGTGGAAAGCCCCCAACCCACTACATGGAATGGGGTGTGGAAAGCCCCCAACCCACTACATGGAATGGGGTGTGGAAAGCCCCCAACCCACTACAAGGAATGGGGTGTGGAAAGCCCCCAACCCACTACAAGGAATGGGGTGTGGAAAGCCCCCAACCCACTACAAGGAATGGGGTGTGGAAAGCCCCCAACCCACTACAAGGAATGGGGTGTGGAAAGCCCCCAACCCACTACAAGGAATGGGGTGTGGAAAGCCCCCAACCCACTACAGGAATGGGGTGCAGAGAAGCCCCCAACCCCTACAAGGAATGGGGTGTGGAAAGCCCCCAACCCCTACAAGGAATGGGGTGTGGAAAGCCCCCAACCCCTACAAGGAATGGGGTGTGGAAAGCCCCCAACCCCTACAAGGAATGGGGTGTGGAAAGCCCCCAACCCCTACAAGGAATGGGGTGTGGAAAGCCCCCAACCCCTACAAGGAATGGGGTGTGGAAAGCCCCCAACCCACTACAAGGAATGGGGTGTGGAAAGCCCCCAACCACTACAAGGAATGGGGTGTGGAAAGCCCCCAACCACTACAAGGAATGGGGTGTGGAAAGCCCCCAACCACTACAAGGAATGGGGTGTGGAAAGCCCCCAACCACTACAAGGAATGGCCAACCACTACAAGGAATGGGGTGTGGAAAGCCCCCAACCACTACAAGGAATGGGGTGTGGAATGCCCCCAACCACTACAAGGAATAGGGATGGGATGTGGAATGCCCCCAACCACTACAAGGAATGGCGATGGGGTGTGGAATGCCCCCAACCACTACAAGGAATGGCGATGGGGTGTGGAATGCCCCCAACCACTACAAGGAATGGCGATGGGGTGTGGAATGCCCCCAACCACTACAAGGAATGGCGATGGGGTGTGGAATGCCCCCAACCACTACAAGGAATGGCGATGGGGTGTGGAATGCCCCCAAACTACTAAAAGGAATGGGGGGCGGAATGCTCCCAATACAAGGAATGGGGAGTGGAATGCTCCCAACACTGCAAGGAATGTGGATGGATGAGGGTGGAATGAACCCAACTCTACAAGCAATGGGGATGGGATACTCCCAACGCTACAAGGAATGGAAAAGGGAGAGTAAACTGCTCCCAAAAAGCTAGAATGCTTGCAACACAATATGGAATAAGGGAAGGACAGAATGCTCCCAACACTACAAAGAATGGAAAGTGGGGTGACAGAATGAAGTGTAGAGGCCCAAATAAATGCAAGGTAAACAGGAACATAGCAAGAGAAATAATAAAAGAGGGAAAAGAAAAGTATCATGAAAGGCAAACAAACAGGTGAAAACACGATAACACAAATAGGGGAGGAAAGTGGAGATAGATCATACAAAAATAAGATGCAGGTCAACGGGTACATACAAAAGGGCACAGGTTTGCAGAGTAACAAAGGAGAACACAAAGATAGGGGTACAAAATAAACTAGCATGGTGGAGGGTTCCAAACAGAAGTATGTATGATCCAAAAGCACAGTGGGATGGAAAATGGGGCAAGGTGTGTATATGGAGTATGGAAGGAATCGCAGTGCTAAGAAAGGGGAGTTGTAAATTCAAAGTGAAGAGGGCCAGAAAGAAAGGAATGTGCAAAGATAACCTGAGAGGAGTGAGGAAGGGGCACACACAAGCATTGGTTTCACAACATAGAATCATTAGATCTAGGCAAGGTGGTGGTAAAAATTACAAAGAATAAAAAGGACAAGGTGGGCGAGGATCTATAAGGCAAAGGGAAGTGGGAACAACAGGGGAAGAAAAACGACACCGTAAATGTAAACAGAGGATGAAAAAAAAAAGGGACAGTAAATAGGAGAATGCCAGAGGGTATTTAGAAACTAGCTACAGGAAAAGAACTGTCACAGAACACAAAAGCAGGCAGCGTAATAAGATCCTGAAATAAGTAAAGCCAAAACCAATAAATAATTATTATTTTTTTAAAAAACCATTTAACCACGGTCACATAGAAGAAGGAAATAAATAAATTTAAAGGGGGATGGTTTAAACAGACATGCAGTCTATGTGTGCCATTATGACACCCTGTATTGCCACAGTCACATGACACACACATTCTAAGAACCCACATATAATAAACAGCACAAATCGAAATGTTTATCCACACACACACTGTACACAGAATCCCAGCATTAATAAATAGAATATAGCAGAATAAAGAGCACATTCATGGGTGTACAGCATGGGCAGGCAGCTCACAGCCACTGATACAGCCTGTACACAACACATCTTGTGACTCTGTTGCAATACCAGTAGGGTGAGGGTTATACTGAGTTATATACTGAGCTGCCATTTAACCAGTGAAGTGCCAGGAGAGGGGGCAACAACACCCCCCTCCCACTCACAGGGGGGAGGTTAGCACTGCAGGTAAGGAAAGGGTTAAAGAGCCAAAGGGTCTGCATTAAAAAGGGATGGTAGGACTTGCCTCCAGCTGTGAGAGGACTACAACTCCCATGGTGCTTGGCCTGCCTTGTGGCTTGCACAGCATGATGGGAGTTGTAGTTTTAGCACATCTGGTGTTGGAGAGAAAATGGTGCAGGATAGAAGTGGGAAAAGCCAAGACTTACACAGGGTGCAGCTGCCTCTGTTGCCCCACCCCCCCAGTGGGGAGGGTAAATATCCAGGGTAGAGGAGGGGGGGCTAGTCTTCAGGGCCCTTCCTGCCCCATGGAGGGGTAATAATCCACAGAAACAGCCCTTCCCCCTCCCTCCAGGGAGGGGGGAGTGAGGGGGGTGGAAAGGGTTAAATAGGGAGGAGGAGGGGGGGGCAGGAAATATCCCTCTCAGGCAGGGTGACCCCCCCACCACGTGACCAGGGGCAGGTAGCAGGGCAGATAGCGGGGCAGGTAGCACGGCGGCGGCGGGGACCCCCTCGGATCCAGCACAAGCTCCCGGGGAGGTGAGGGGTAAAATGGCGCCGTCACAGAGACGGACGGAGAGGAAGACTGCGAGGGTGGGGGAGGAGGAGACTCGGATCTACTGAGCAGGAGGGAGGGGGGAGGGAGGAGGGAGGAGGGGGAGAGCACACTGAACAGCGACTGTTCCCAGGCTCCCTCTGGCGGCCGGACCAGGAACTGCACCCACCCGGTCTATTGCTCCATCCCTGAATGCAGCAGCTGTGTGTGTGTGTGACTGTATCATCATCACCATCACACACTAATATCACCATCATCACCACCATACACTATCACCATCACCACCACCATACACTAATATCACCATCATCACCACCATACACTAATATCACCATCATCACCACCATACACTAATATCACCATCACCACCACCATACACTAATATCACCATCACCACCACCATACACTAATATCACCATCACCACCACCATACACTAATATCACCATCACCACCACCATACACTAATATCACCATCATCACCACCATACACTAATATCACCACCATACACTAATATCACCATCACCACCATACACTAATATCACCATCACCACCATACACTAATATCACCATCACCACCATCATACACTAATATCACCATCACCACCATCATACACTAATATCACCATCATCACCACCATACACTAATATCACCATCATCACCACCATACACTAATATCACCATCATCACCACCATACACTAATATCACCATCACCACCACCATACACTAATATCACCATCACCACCACCATACACTAATATCACCATCACCACCACCATACACTAATATCACCATCACCACCACCATACACTAATATCACCATCACCACCACCATACACTAATATCACCACCACCATCATACACTAATATCACCACCATCATACACTAATATCACCATCATACACTAATATCACCACCATCATACACTAATATCACCACCATCACCACCACCATACACTAATATCATCACCACCACCACACTGCTATCACCCCACCACCACCACCATCATACACTAATATCACATGGACTATAACTACACGACGCTATCACATGGACTATAACTACACCACGCTGATATCACATGGACTATAACTACACCACGCTGATATCACATGGACTATAACTACACCACGCTGATATCACATGGACTATAACTACACCACGCTGATATCACATGGACTATAACTACACCACGCTGATATCACATGGACTATAACTACACCACGCTGATATCACATGGACTATAACTACACCACGCTGATATCACATGGACTATAACTACATCACACTGATATCACATGGACTATAACTACACCACGCTGATATCACATGGACTATAACTACATCACACTGATCTCATCATCATCATCCTGATATCACATGGACTATAACTACATCACACTGATATCACATGGACTATAACTACACCACGCTGATATCACATGGACTATAACTACATCACACTGATATCATCACCACCATACTAATATCATCATCACACTGATGATATACTGATATCACATAGACTAATATCACATACACTAATATCACATGGACTATAACTACACCACCACACAGGGCCTCCTTCATACACTAATATCACATGGACTATAACTACACCACCACACAGGGCCTCCTTCATACACTAATATCACATGGACTATAACTACACCACCACACAGGGCCTCCTTCATACACTAATATCACATGGACTATAACTACACCACCACACAGGGCCTCCTTCATACACTAATATCACATGGACTATAACTACACCACCACACAGGGCCTCCTTCATACACTAATATCACATGGACTATAACTACACCACCACACAGGGCCTCCCATACACTAATATCACATGGACTATAACTACACCACCACACAGGGCCTCCTTCATACACTAATATCACATGGACTATAACTACACCACCACACAGGGCCTCCTTCATACACTAATATCACATGGACTATAACTACACCACCACACAGGGCCTCCTTCATACACTAATATCACATGGACTATAACTACACAACCACACAGGGCCTCCTTCATACACTAATATCACATGGACTATAACTACACAACCACACAGGGCCTCCTTCATACACTAATATCACATGGACTATAACTACACCACCACACAGGGCCTCCTTCATACACTAATATCACATGGACTATAACTACACAACCACACAGGGCCTCCATATACTATACAACATTACATGCACTAATATCACATGGACTATAGCTACAACACCACACAGGGCCTCCTTCATACACTAATATCACATGGACTATAGCTACACCACCACACAGGGCCTCCTTCATACACTACTGTCACATGGACTATAGCTACACCACCACACAGGGCCTCCTTCATACACTAATATCACATGCACTATAACTACACCACCACACAGGGCCTCCATATACTATACAACATTACATGCACTAATATCACATGGACTATAGCTACAACACCACACAGGGCCTCCTTCATACACTAATATCACATGCACTATAACTACACCACCACACAGGGCCTCCATATACTATACAACATTACATGCACTAATATCACATGGACTATAACTACAACATCACACAGGGCCTCCTTCATACACAATAACATCACACAGAGTCTCCATACACTATATAACATTACATATACCAGTATCACATGGACCATAAACTACATCACCACACAGGGTCTCCTTAATACACTATAACATCACAAAAGGGCCTGAATATACTATAAAACAGTACATAGACTAATGTCACATGGACTATAACAACATCACCACACAGGGTCTCCTTCATACAGTATGACAACTACATACAGGGCCTGCATATACTATATAACATTACATACACAAATAGCACATGGGCTATTACAACATCACCACACAGTGCCTTCTGTATATACTGGATAACATCACACACTAACACCACATGGACTAACTATGACAGAATCACACTAATATCACATGGACTAACTATAACAGCATATCACACGGACTATAACAACATCACAAACTATAAATATTACATGGACTAACACTATGACAACACATGGGGCCCTTGACATACACAGACACATCACATCAGTAGTAATATCGCACAGGCCCTTTACATACAGTGAGATGTCATGTTATTTATGGAAGGCTTTTTACATACTGTGAGACCCCATGTTACCGAGAAAAGACGTTACAGCAACATTTAACTAATGCCGTGGCAGTCAAACCTTCAGGGCTGCCAAAGCATGATAGGTGTTGTAGTGCAATAGATTTTTCCCCTTGGGGATCTTAGCCAAGAGCAGATGGAGTCCCACGTATAGTGTTGCCATCTTTCGATTTTCTGGGTAGAATATACACTAAAACTACAAGGCCAGTGGCTGGCCAGTCTAACTGCTGCGGACGGACTCCATTTCCCATAATGGCAGACAAATCGTTCACAAAATGTGTAGAATCAGAGAGGAGTCTACACGGTCCTCAACACCAGGAACTAAAGCTAGACCTTTAACCCCTTAAGGACCAAACATCTGGAATAAAAGGGAATCATGACATGTCACCCATGTCATGTGTCCTTAAGGGGTTAAAAAAAATTTTTATTTTTTAAAATAAATAAAAACCTATGATCATGAATCGGGATTTCATTCTCCAAATTACTTAAACATCTAGTGTACTATTAAAATGATGTCAGAGTAGGGGTTGGGCTTTGTATTGTTGAGAAAGACTTGTTATAATACTCTTTGTAAAAACGTTCCCTTTCTTCGGAATGTCCATAATTTGACTCACTTTGAATTGCTGGTAACAATTCACACTGCAGATAAATGACACTGACAGAATCAGCAAGCCCTGACAGAATCTATTACTTTTACATCCGTTATCATTGTGGAGACAATGTTACAAGCGCACTCAGTTCTACAGCAACATTCTAAAAGTTGAACGATCTATTGCGGATTGCCACATATATTCCAACCTCCCTCCAGAATTGGCAACATAACTACTACAGCTCTCCTTGGCACCTGGAGACCGCCGCATCAATAATATGGATTTTACTCTCCCCCTATTATCCGTGTCAATTTAATCCCAAACGGGCAGCAGTGATTGGCTGAGAGGGTTGGGGCGCATGGTTTTAAGCTCATCAACACAGTCAATGATAATTGCAGAATTCTAAATTCTCCATAGTTGGTGTGGCCAAGATGAGGCAATTAAATGGTTTCTCTGAAAACCAAAAAAATAAAAATTAAATTAAAGCCAAGGGATGGCATCCAGAGATTCTACAAAATAAACACACCAACCTTTAGCAGTAATGTTGCTCAGCATGTCCCGTTAACTCCTATAGACATCTCCCATGATTTATTTTTGGACTCACAGCTTACACTACAAGAATTCTGTATTACAGGAAGTTCAAGAATAGAGAATCCCTATTGGAACAAAGTGTGGGGCGAGATGTGCTAAACCATTAACATTTGTACGAGTACCACACTACCACAATACTGTGCTTTGCTTGCCACATACTGATTAGTGAGAAAAACAAACTAACTACAGTGTGGACTTCCTGGTAGGTTGCAGACAGAAAAAAAAAAGACCCATGTAGGTTAGTGGTGGCCATCTTTGACACCACCAGATGTTCCCAAATTAATTTTTCTCATGATGTTCAGCATCATGGGAAAAATAGATTAGGAACATGTAAATCAGTGACCAACTCATTTCATTAGCAAAAGGTCAAAATGAGCTGCGTTAAAGATTCTCCCCCAACTTTGTCTAAGATTTTGCACCTTGTTTGGCAAGTATAAGCCAGAGACTACTGTGAAAATCTTCTCTCCCCCACGTATTCCAAGGCAAAGCTAATCTGGCCCGAAAATACATTTTATATTGTCACCAGTCACTTCGACTGCAAGCTTTTGAGTAAAAATAGAAAAAGGAGTTCTTATTCCTAAATGTGTAATTTGTCACAAGTGTCTATTGTCCTTTGTACGGAGCTGCAGAATTTCTTGGCACTTTAAAAATAGTGACCAAAACTTGAAGGAAAAAAAATAAAAAAATAAATTTAAAAAAATACTCACTGCATTCCCTCTGCAGACACAAGAGGGAGCACCCACCATGCTGCGAATGCAGTAGTAAGCCTCCCGCGCAATACACAAACAACATAGGGAGGGGCATGACATCAGAGGTGGAAGCAAAGCATGCAGGGAACTGTAGTCTTAGCACAAACCACAGCACAATGCACAGCAAGCATGTTAGTGCTAATCTGCAGTCAGGAGGTCACAGCAAGTTAAACATATTCATTTCTGTGGGAGAGCCGGAATCATCTAACCAGGGTGCTTTATTATTAACACATACACAAGCAGCCCTCGAATCTGCATTTTAATATATTTGCAATTAGAAGCAAACATAATAAATACCACAAACTAAAAACGAAGACACTCAGCAACGCCTGAGCCTATCCCGGCAATCTGCTCCCAGGATATCGCCTCATGGTCTGGGTCTACCTGATCACACAAACACACCGGCTTATTCACTAAAGTGTAAATTGATGGAATTCAAACGTGAATTTGAAATTTAAGGCCAAGATAGTCGAATTGAAAAAATATAATAAAATTCTCCATGTTGTTTTCAGTTCGGCTAGTATAACCTTAATCTACATTACGGTGGATAACCCTGGGTGCCAAGCAGTCTCCTGGTACTAGACACATACTCAGCACTCTGTCTAGTGTCACAGTAAGTACCCGGCCTCTAAAACCCAGCAGTGTCTGAGCCAGATAACACAACACAAGAGGCAAACTCACCGTGTCGTCCTAACCAACACCAAGAAAATCTACTGCCAAAAAGGCACAATGAGCCTATCTGCACAGTTACTTATTACATCACTTATTCCAAGCAATATGGAATTGGAATTTTTAGGCCAAAATGCACAATTTTTAAATTTACAACAAAAATAAGTGCTACTGGGCTATTTGTCCAGCTTTATCTGTTTAGCTGTGAAATTTGTAATTCCCTTCGATTTCGCAGTTTGGTTTAAAAGGTCTGACCCGGTTCTGATCGTCAGGAAATCTTCCTATCTTTCCTGGAAAATCAGTATGGTTTGAACCTGTCCAAAAAATTTGCAGGCAGACTCATCAGCCCTGTTACAACTACCAACCCACTTACACCCAAGCATGTTATCTTCAGGGAGCTCATTTTACCTCGGAGAGAAAAGATAGGACTGCCAAAAAAAAAAAAAAAAAATAATACACATCCTGATAATCGCCCAGTCTCCATACTGTATGAATCTAAAGACAAGAAGTTCCCTTGTATCAGTGAAAATAAAATGTGCATTGTGGGAGGCTGTCAAGATAATCCAAAGCAACGAAGTCACATTTATTTATAAAAGTGCCAACATGTGCCATGGCACAGTACAATAGGATGAGAGCCCTGCACTGTTGGAGCCCAACCCAATAATCTGCTGGCACACACGGCCCCTAGTTTAAACATGCCCAACACCATGTGAACGTGGAGAAGAGGTTATGGGGCCGTGACCTGATTCATTCTAAGCTTCATGGTCTACACAGATACAATCTTTATACTTCTACGTAATACTCCGACAATGTGCAGTGAGTGAAATATGCTCTCTAAAATGAACAATCCACTAATCAACGATCTGTAATACGCAGAAAACCCATCTGGGGGTCATGTCACAAAAGAAAATAAAAGGGTTAAAAACCTCCCCAACCTTAGCCCCATTTTAGACTACTGCAGATTAAATTGCTTCCAGGCAAAACATGCTGCCCTGTCATAAAAAAACCATTTAAAAATATATCAAATAAAATTTAAAAATAATATAAGGACTACATATCCCACAATGCACTCTGATCAAGTTACATAAATTCTCTAAATACACTGCTAAACCCCAGGTACAAAGAAGACAGACAATAGCATGATTGCAAGAGCTTGGATTGAAGGTTTGTAGCCCGAAGAGCTAGCACTTCAAACCAGCAGAACAAAAGGATAAGAGGATTTGCTCGTAGCTGTCTGACAAGGAGGGAATTTCCAAAACAATAGAGGTAGGAAACCGCATGCTTAGCATATAATGCATATGTATAGATGTAGAAAGATAAAGGTTAGTGGATCCCACCCAGCACAGACCCCCACTCAATTACTTACAGACAGAGAATGGACACGGCCTGTTTGCTGGGAGGAAACTGGTCATTGCTGAATCCTCTGAATCATTTTCAGCTTTGCACTAACCACACACAAGCTATACCAATGTAAGCTCCTGCAACACTCACTTACTCCCTCCTGCCCTCCCTCACACACCCCCCGCAGGAGCAGCCCATTCAGCACCGTGGGGGGAGCAATATACAGCAACCTCAACAATGCATCCCAAAACACGAATGCCATGTAGGAAAATCAGTAATTCCAACACACAGCTGTGTGTATGTGAGGAGCAGCAAGCTGAAATAATAGCAGGAAGTGAAAATCCAAAAAAACAGGTACAGGCTGTGTGTGACCCAACCACCCTTTAATCTGTCTCAGTGGTTTTTCCACTCTTTGCTTGCCTAAGAGATATGTGCTCGCAGTACTGAGCTGTAGCCACAGGAGGGCGGCAGCGTGGACAGGACGTGTCATATGCCAACCATATTATGCAACAGGCGTTTAATGCAGGACTCAAAGTCATCTGATCATCTCTCACGAGAGAATGACCCCCTCAATATCCAAGACACCGCTTTTTGTCTTTTTTTTGTTTTGTTATGTTTTTGGTTTAACCCTTTCACTGCACCTCCGTTGGCACTGATGGATGATAATACACAGACGTCTAAAGTAAATGGAGTCATGTCATTTCCATAAATAAACACAAATTAAGCCATACACGCCTACACCTCCGTTTCAGGAATATTACTGCTTGAGCACAGTTAAACTGAATACAGAACTAAATCTAGCTTATTCAAGCAGCACTCTAAAGGATTGCTAAAAGCACACTGACTACTTTATCTCAATCATGTGATCTGGGTTTCGTGGCGCTCTCGTTTTAACCCTTTAACTGCCGTTTAGTAAACGCGGCAAGCTATCATTGCACGGTTAACTTAGCTCCACTAAATGGTGCTTCCACTGTGTAACTGGGTCAATATTCTCAATAACCCTAGGGGGAAGCACTGGATTGGGTGAAATGACAAATAGTGCCGGAAGTTTTATGCAAGATGAGAGTAAATGGCAGACTCACTACGGCAGGTGGGTGCTATTAATATGTTATGACCAGGCTTTTAATGAATAATAAACTTACCCCAGTAATTTGCACAATGCTTGCAAATTTTAGCTGCCGAGGCGGTTCTCCGAACTCGGCACAAGATAGACGATTCATCATGCATCTGTGTCTGTAGGAGATGAAAAAAATAAACTAGTGATTCTATAAACTGAAAATAAGTATATATTAATTTCATTGGATTTATAATTCCAGGGGGCAAGGGCTGAGTAAACATGAATGGTTAATTTTACACAGCTTTTGTAGTGAATGCACACCAAACCAGGAAGTGACTCCGCCAACCAGGATGCTCACATAACTTTTCATAGCGTAGATGAGCTTAACCCGTAAGTGCTTTAAGGGGTACAGCAAGGGTTTATGGGAGTTGTAGTTCAGTTTTATTAGTTTTCTAGTGTATCTGCTTACGGCTGAACTACAATTCCCAGAAGTCATGACATCATTTACAGGTAGGAATATATAATATAATCACTGCAGCTTTTTGGGAAAGTCAGAAAGGGTGGTTTTATGGGGCAAAATAATTATTTAAAAAAATAAAGGGTTACTCCAACCTGTTCTAATAAGGTTGCCTCCTTCGCGAGGCCCAATTAAATGTTTCTTTTAGAGAGAAGCATTTGATTGGCGGTTCTTTCCCAGTTCAGCGTGCCTGTGAACCCTCTGAGCTGGGAGGAGTGGGTGTGGGTATTTAACATTGTATATTAAAAAAAAAAAGTCCCTTATGATGAACGAAGGGAGATGGGGAGCGCTGGGACACTGAAGCTTCCCCTCGTAGACGCACTACTTCATTACATCTGTCGCCACCATGTAGTGCGAGCTGACGACAGACTTAATTTTTGCACTGGATAAATACTTGTGTCATATGTATGGGGGTGTAATGAGCCCCCAACACAAAAGTGCAAATATCCCAGTATGTACAGAGATGTTCAAGCAGAAATGTTGCACATAATGACTCGTACCAGCACGACCACTTCTAAAAGTAGAAGTGGTAATGGTAGTTGGAGTAATCTTTGGTGTAACCATAAAAACAAACAGTAAAACACAGTGCAGACATTACATAGATAGTGTAAAACATAGGTAGATGTAAACTCACAAACATTGCGTGGATTAAGTGTCAGTGTCGCTTGATGTCTCGGGACGGATCAAGCTCCCTGTGTGCGATGGATCCAAAACGATATTTCCAAAAATAATTCACTAGTCGTTAGTCTAAACGTAATGCAACCTTTAATTCTTCAAATTCTCAAAACCGGAATGAGGGGAATCCCACAAATGTGTGAATATAGTGAAGTCCGAGATACCGCAGGGATGAAATCTGTAAGCAGCGTCTCCAGACCAATTTGCCGTGTTTGGCGTCTTCTCTTCAACCTTAGCCTCAATTTCAGACCATCGGCATGATGCGTTTCGCTCCGCGTTTTGGTGCTTCTTCGAATGCAAGATAGAGCCAGTCCAACATTCTGATGTTATATAGCGATACAAATTGGATAGTTAATAAGCAATTAAGTTCCAACTTTAAAATTTAGCAATTTGAGTTACATTGTGTAAGTTAGCAATCTATAAGGAGTAAATAGAGTTATCTAGCAAGGTCCCTTTCATGAAAATACAATCAATTGAATACCATAATTAAAAAGAGGAAAAAAAAACAAAAAAACACACATATGAATATCATATTAAAAATATGCACAACAGCAAGTAAATATAGATACGTACCAAAACACCAATAAAAAGCAAAAAAAAAAAAAATGGGTTTCATATAGAATCATAAAACAAGGAATGTTTCAAAAAAATAAAAGATTTCTTTTTTAAATTGAATGAATTAAATATTAAAAATATTATAAAGAAAAAAAAAAAAATCGAACTCTGTATTCAGTCCCTTAACCCCTTAAGGCCACATGACATGTGTGACATGGCATGATTCCCTTTTATTCAAGAAATTTGGTCCTTAAGGGGTTAAGTGTGAGAGAATTTAGTTAAAATGCTACCTCTTTTTTTTCCAAACTAGTTTTATGAGCTTCTCTAAAAATGGTTCTAGGTTTCTAAAATTGTTTTTAAGCCATCGTCATGCACAGGGGTTCCCAACCCAGTCCAGGATTTAGGGATTACCCTGTTGTGTCTAAAGTGTTGTTTGTTTGTTTTTTTTTACACTTCTTAGACACAAGTGGGTAATCCTTAAATCCTGGACTGTAAGGGGTTACTTGAGGACTGGGTTGGGAACCACTGGTATAGCAGTAAAATAGGCCAAAATGTATTAAAAACACCTTTTATTTTTCTATAATCCTTAATAAAATTAAAAATAGTTGGATTACAATTAACATCTGAAGTTCCTTTATTTATTTACTCTTTTTTTCTGATAAAAGTGTGTTTCTGGGAATCAGTTTGACATCATCTATAGTTTTACTTAAAATAACTTCTGGGTATTTTTTTTTTTATCTCTAACCCTATCTTAAAGAGGATTGCTTGAAATAAAAATTCCTGATTAACTTAATTTTAAGTAATTAACCATTTTGCATATTTGTAAGCCACTGGTTCAAATATCCACTGTTAAATAAAATGTACCAGTTAGTGTCTTTTTTTTTTAAATGTGTTTTTTTATTAATACGTTCATTTTTAATATATTTTTAAAATATATATATATATATATGCCGATTACTGATGTTGCTAGTTAGTTGTATACCCCAATCATTTTGATTTAAAAAAATTAAATTAAACTTATTAAAATCTTCTAAAGGTCATAAACATATTATCTATATAGTGGCCATAGTGGCGCAGACGCCCTCTATATATATATAGGATTCTTCCCAATGGGACATAATTAGATTGGCATAACTGGGTACATTCCCACTTTTGTTTTACGAAACTCACTTTAAATTCTGACAAATGACACTTTAGTGAATAAATCTTGCTGAGCCAAAATAAGACAAACTGGAAAAGTTTCAATATTTCACTCCCATTTTTTTTTTTAAATTAAATTACGCAAGCTGTCTGTCAACCCATTGCAGATCACTGTTTAGTGAATACTTTACTTACCAACTGTCTTATTCAATGTCCCCAGACTACATTTTGGAGCGTATCCACCGAACCACGAATTTTCCTGAAAAGACAAAATAATTATAGAATTTAGGCAAAAACAGCCGGATTATAAATAATTCCTCAAATCAGCTCTTGACCGTTTTGGCCTAAAATCTTCTTTTGCCAACGTTCCGTAAATGCGCAGTTTGATGAACAAGCCCCTTAGCACCCTTTTGTCGACCCGTCACCTCAATTTACGTGCGGAATTCATTTTCTAAAATCTTTTTCCGAATCAGATTACTCTCCACCTATTAAAAAAATAAAACACATATATATTTATATTTAATTTTGTTTTTAAATGATATATTTACCTTTTCTTCCACTAAAAAAAAACAAAAACCTTTGTTTCTAATGCATTATTGTATAAAATAAATGCAAGAATAGTCAAATTTCAGTAAAACACAACAAAAACAAAAAAATAATAAATAATAAAAAAATAATAAATAATATAATAAATATATATTTTTTTTTATTTTTTTTTATTTTTTTATATATGAATTTGCCCCCTCAGTGCCCAGTGCTGCCCAGCCTGTGGTGATGGGTTGCTCCCTGCCCTGTGTATAGTGGTACTGAGTATCACACCTAGCTGATCACAAAGTTCCCCTGGCTGGCCTGTTTATTGCTGGTTAGAATGGGGAGAGTATGTGGTGCCCCCTGTGCCCCCAGCCAATGCCATGGGCAGTGCCCAGCCTGCTGCACCCTCCCAGCATGCCCTGGGGGAGCACCCACCACCCCCAGCACTGCCACCTGGTGCCTGAACCCCACACCCAGTGCACCCCCCTCTGCCTGCACCTACCTGCACAGCTCAACCAGGGCTGCTGGCTACTGCCCGCCCCTCTCCCTCCTCTCCGGGCTCCTGATTGGCGGGGGCCGCGGAGGGGACGCGGGGATTGGCTAGCGAGCTGTCAGTCAGGCAGTGGAGGGGAGGAGTTGTGGGTGGGGACTGGTGTGTTACTGTGTCCCCTTGCTGTCTGCCTGCTGCTTGCAGGATGTGATTGGGGGAGGGTGGGGGGTGCACTCATGTCATGGGGTAAGGGGACAACACAATTTGGGGGTCACTGCACCCATTAAACCCTATAAGGGCACATTGTGACCCTGGGACACCCAGGAAGTAACCTGGAACAGGGGGATAAAAATAAAATTTTTTAAAAATCAATATATTTTGGGGGTCTCTCTGTGTATCTGTTTACACACCACACACAGCTTAATGCCACCACTGACTGGCCATTTTAGCCATTAAGCTCCCAATAAACTTTTGGTTTCTTTCATAAATGCAAATACAAAAATTGATTTGAGTGAATTAAGGCTACTGTTTCCCATTAAGCAGCCAGGGCAGTGCATGATGTGGCTGAGGGTGATGGGAGTTGAGGGGGGGTTGGATTATGGGCATTGCCGGCGCTTGGGCCCCTGCCCCTTAGATGGAAGCTGAGCGTAACGGGAGTTATAGTCCGGAAGCGCTGAGGTGCCAGGGTGACGTAGGACAAATTCACCTAAAAAGTAGCAATGTGACTATAAATGGAGGCCCTCTGTCTGGGACACTAGTCTTTGGGATATGTGCCAGTCAGTCAACAATAATAGCGGTGGGGAGTGGTGGTTTCTGATAAAGTTAGGTTTCCCAGGTCACTTAGTTCACTCTGGGCTCGAGCCTGGGGTTACGTAGGCCTTTATAGCTTGCCCCCCATCTTCAACAACATTGGGGTTTATCCACTAGACAGGAAATTTAAAACCGACGCGTGAGAACGACCGTACATTTTAGGGGAAACTTTCTATATCGAGAAATATTTATAATCATTTTTTTTCTTTTTCAGCTTCAATATTGTAATGTGCTTTTCGGTTCTCTAAAAATCACTGATTAGTGAAGGAAAAACCCAAGGCATGTACTAAGTCTCAGGGCACACTGACGCCTGATGCATGCTTTTGGGCAAAGACATTTAACTAGCTAGCGTATGCCAACGAGACATCCTGCAGTGTATCCAGGAGAAAGCAAGGATGCAATTTCATATAACTCCTTGTGTCACAGAACGATTAGATAAATGTCCTTTAGTCATCACATTTAACATATTTTTTAATTTTCTGAGTATACTGCTTTTAAGCTGAAATCAGCGGGGTAAATTGACAGCGAAACATGTGAGCATACACTTTGATGGGCACTGCACGGTACCAAAAACCTCTTTTATTTAAAGGTGTACCCTCAGGTTTGGTTTAGTGCAACTGTAACTTTTTGGGTTTTGTTATGTTGGGCTTACTTACACTCAAATTAAAATAAATACCTTTATAAAAAGTCTCACTGTTGCCTAAAAATTCAGGGAAAGTATCCTCATGGGGTCATTCACTAAATCAATAAATATGTTTAACGGAATTGGGAAAATTCTCAAACTCAGCTCTATTTCCATTTTGTCTTTTTTTCACGTTTAATTTTGCACTTCGCTTGTCAGCTTTCCGCAAGTGATCTTTTAGCGGATAACCCCACAGTGTGTAATCTCATATTTCTTCTGTTTTTTTAAATGGTCTTTTCAAGTACCATAAAATCTTTGCACCATTGCAATGATTACGGTTGCAGAACGTCCCCTGCACCCACTGTCACTAGATGAAAGTGATTTATAACAGCTGTCAGCTGTTAGCTGTCAGTCAGACGGACATAATTTACAGTTCAAGCTATTTTATTATATTTATTTTGCTTATTTTATATTTTTAATGCATCATCTAAATTGTGCAAATTATTGACACTTAACTGTCAGTTTCTTTAGATGATTTTTTCAAATGATGCATGTCGTTACAAAATTGGACTCGGAGTCACATAACATTTTATTAAAAAGGACAAAAGCTGCAAAAACACAGTTTATCTTCAATACTTTACGACACACACAGACCAACATATATAACAACATAAAACAATACACAAAGTATTAATAAAGAGGCAGTCCAGGTATATAAAGTATAAAAATGCAGGGGACTGAGCATTATGTGAAAAAATTTGATTTTCTTTCCTTGGTCACGTTTCCTGTAATTTGTGCGCCATCTCAGCGCTGGCGTGGTACATATTTTGTTGCTGGGCGTTATTCAAGAGTCACGCGTCACTCCGCCCACTCCGTCTCAAGTCGCTCTTATACTTGAAATTACGCTGGTTTTGCTTCACTCCTGCGGCTGCGCTGCGGCTTCGGTTCCCCCTTGACCTCAGCTTGTTCTTGACTATTCTGCTTTTGGCATTTTCGCGCTAAGCCCCGCCACCCCTAAGGACCCGAAATACGCTACCGTCCTGTTCTGACTAAGGCCTTCATTTAATATTTCTAGATAATCTTTTCAAATTATTTAATATTTTTGATAAAATACACCTTTAAAATTATTATTTTTAAAACTATTAAAATATCAAAAATGTATCATATATATTAAAAATAAATATTATTACATATCAAATATTTTTTATAAAAAACATTTTTAAATAAAATTTTATCCAAAAATATTAAATCATTTAAAAGTTTATCCAAAAATAATAAATCAAGACCTAACATAGATTTGCGTGCTGTGATCACTAGTTATTCCTGACAGCCACCGTATCTCCCAGTTCCAACAGGAAGTACTGTGATCCCATATAAGTCATACCATGGTATCATTATAAGGGCACAGACAGAATACAAATAACTTGGAATGATTCCTGTGATTTGCCTTTGGGTTTTAATTAGTTTTGTGAGTGTTTATCATTGTTTATTTTTTTTTCCATGTGCGTGGGATGCGTCAAGAGGATATATCAGACGTGCATATGTTTAATTAATTACTATTACCAATGATTTAATATGTGGCCACGCGACATGATACACCTGCGCATGATGATCTATTATCTCCTAGAAATGAAGGTGGGACCAGAGATGGGCTGACAGACCTCACCCACTTCCTGGTTGAAATGTAATGGAGACATTATATATTTTTTGACAATCTTTATTTTCACGTTCAGTTTTGATAGTACAGAATACGAATGAAAACACAAAATCATGTAGTAACAACTTGAGAGGAGAATTGTAAAATGGAATTGCAAAGCACATATAATATATCCCATAATATCATAAAGCGCAAAATATTGCTTGAAATGAACTTTGTTATTTAGAAAACGTATGGCCTGATATAATATAATATTGGGATCAGCCTGAAATATGCATTACAAGACTAAAAGTGTAAGAACAAGCCATCACTGACTGCCCATGCTGAATGTAGAAAGTTTTCAAAGTTAGACCATAAAAAGTTAAAGAAAAAGAAAGATATTAGGGTGATAAGAAAGAGATAAGGGAGGGAGGAGGAGAAAAAAAAATTAAATAAGAATTATAGTATACCTACAACACGGAACTGAAAAGGCCGGAACCAGAAGAGGGGAGGATAAGCCGACCCTTCTGAACCTCTAATGTGTCCCGGACCCCAGAGTGTTATGAGTTTCAAGGCCCACTTCATAGAATTCTGAAATGACCCAGGAGACACACTCCTACTGAACCCAGCAACATGTGCTATCCATCAATGAAGGCACGTAGGAGAATCATGGTCTCCAAATGTCAAGGAAACTCTAGGTCCTATCGTATAGAGCAGCAATCCACTCCTCCATGGCCCTTATCTCCTCCAAACTCTCCATCCAGGAGAATGTCGGAGCTTCACATTTCTTCCTTTGGGCCAGAATTAGCGATCTTGCTGCCACAAGTAAATTCGTCACCAGTGAGTGTTTGAATTTAGCTATCAGCTCTGAAGTATAAGACAAGAGCATTGCCAATGGGGTGAAGTCTATTGATACACCTTAGACTTCTACTAATGTAGCATTCATCTGATTCCAGAAAGGTTGTAGCACTCACTTCCTCTCAGCCGGCTGCCGAACAGGAAGGGGCGTGCTGTTTAAGCGTCACAGCGCCCAACCAGGCCCCTGCTGACACATGCCCACCGGGTGGCCCTTAGTGCATGGGCCATCCAGGGGGCCTCCTTAGTGTGTGGGCCGCTGCGATTCTGTGTAAATCTCGGATCCCATGGGGCAGCTGTGCTGGGGCCCCCAGGAGCAACTGGGCCTGGTAGCAGTTGCCCAATTTTCCCAGCGTTAAAGACGGCCCTGAGCCTAGTAGTAAAGCCCAGTTGGAATTTAAGATTGTATTAAATATCAAGAGTGGGACGAATCAGAGGCTGTGTACAAATATAATGTAGCGAGTCCTGCCTGTCAAGCCATACTGTTCCAGACAATGTCCCTCCTGTCTTCTCAATCTCCATCGCGAGCCAAGGTCGGGAAGACGAGTGCCATCCAATCGCTATTGTCAGAAGTGCGGCCTTGTAATATCTAATTATACTACGCAAACCTTAAGGGAGCATCAAATGCAATATTTTTATTTTAAGTTTCCTGCCCCTCCAGAAAAATGCAATAATGGCAAAGGTCAGTGCTGTGAAGAAGGCCTTCGGGACTTTTATGGGTATTGTTTGGAACAAATATAATGCGCACGGGAGAAGGGTAACTTTGACCGCGCTACATCTCCCAAACCAAAAGATATGCGATAAGAACCAAGCTTTCAAATCTGCACTAAAACTATGTAATAAATGGGCAAACAGAAGGTACCAGGGTTCCCAAGTATTTAATCTGTTTAGGGCACTAACGGAAAAAGTAGTTCCCTTTGAACTGTCTGGAGACATTCTAGTTTACACCTCGAGAGAAAAAAATACTGCAAAAGACACCCGGAGGTACTAGTAAAGCTTCTTCAGTCGGCAACATTGAATCTGATTTGCATTCCCACATGATAAAAAAAAATGACGCGGAAGTAAAAAGATGAAGGGCAAAGTGCCCTAAATACTGCAGCCCCATGGGGACAAATAGGC